CTTAGGTCCTTTTTATTTGTAATGGTAAACCTAGAGATTTGGTCTTATTTGCTACGACCATAAAATATCAATGGAAAAAAGTACAATTTTTAATCGATAATCTTAGGTTCCTCTTATTGTTAATGTAAACCAAGAGACTTGGTCTTATTTGTTCCGGCCATAAAACATCAATGGAAGAAAGTAACAGAGCACAGTATTCAATCTTAGGTCCAGCTTTTTTGTAATGGTAAGCCAAGAGACTTGGTCTTATTTGCTACGACCATAAAATATCAATGAACGGAAGTAGCGGAGCACAGTATTCAATCGATAAATTTAGTATTTTAAGTTTTCTTTCACAAACTAAAAATGTACATAAATAACGTAAATTATCTTCTTCACCGCAAAGGAAAAACAAAATTCCTGAAAGACAACATATCTCGTTTCTGGCGATGTGTTAAACACGCATTTAATTTTTTAAAATATTTTTCTTTATCCATTTGTAATGCTTATGAAGTTACGTGTGACCTTGTTACATCTGTAAAGATAGAAAGGGCGTTTTAGATGCCAAACCTGTTAAAATACCCTTTTTAGCATTTGTTCTGAATATGTTAAGAACTTGTTTGTTTTCTACTTGTCTGTATGTTTATATTGATGGCCGCTTAAGACAATTATGGTCAGGGTCATTGTTTTATATGCATTTTACAAGCGTTCGGATTTCCTTGTTTCAATTTGAGTTCATTTAAAGCCTTCAGTATGGAATAATCTATATCGAGTAAGTAATTTAAATAGATTTTTTAGAATAGCAAATTTTTTTTTATAAAAGGTAACTTTGTCGACAGTTTGCATTTGAAGTCTTTTTCCAAATATATGTCCATACTTTTACAAAATCTTTTACGCCCTTCGAAACACGGCTGAGCAACCCTGTTACTAAAATTCGCATTCATCTTTCTTTTGTGTTGTAACAGTTCAATCAATTATTAAAAAAATAGTGCAAATTTATTGAATGTTTCTGAAAAAAAAATCGATTTATAGAATGTTTTTTAAGGGCGTGGTGTGGTCTGGACATTATTTTTTTTTTTTTATCCCTTTACGAAATTTCCGACTCTAATGAAAATATGAGTGAAACGAAATTTATGAGATATTTAAGCAGAAACTCGGCTACGTCATGAAATGGGAAACTAAATAATCAAACTACAAGTTACAAATTAATATGTAAGCGAGGGAGAAACAAAAACTCTATCAAAATCTGCCGAATCACTAATGAGGCAGGCGGCAATCGCAAGATTCCCGGAAGAAATTTGGAGCGGTTTCTAGTTATAACTTTCCATCTTCTCCATGTTTAAAGTGTTTTTCAGTCTCGCATTTTTCAGTAAGGACTATTTAGAATTTTATAGCGTTTTTTTTTTTTTCTTTTCTCATTTAAATATTAATTTTTGACCTTTTTTTTGACAATAATTCTAGAAATGTATTTTAAGGGTTGTTATAACGAAATACACCGTGTTTGTAAAAGTACAGGTACTTTAAAAAATAAAAATCGAATTACAAACACATATTTATTTGCTTTTACCGAGACTGTGTTTCATTCATATCTTAACCTGTGTTAAGTCGACATTCGGTGAATGGGAGCATTCACATTGTCGCCTGTAATTATTCATTCCTTAATATTATTTCGCTGTTACATTAAAAAATTTCAACCCTCATCAGTGAATGTTTAATTAAAAAATCTATTTTGCATCATTTCCCCCTTAGTCTTAGAATGCAATCTGAATGTAAACAGTTGCTAGCGTGAAAGAAAATACAATAATTATTCTCGAACATCGACATAAGCAACTAATGATATTTAATAAGTATATTCGAACATCCACCAAAGCGAAATTAGCGAATGTCGACATTCACTAACTTCAGTCTTTCAGAGTGATAACAAATTAATCTGCGACCAGCGAAGATTATTCCCGACAAACATGCTTTTCTAGTTTGAAGTCATTAAAATACCTCCAACAATAGCAAAAGGAACGAACTTCTGGTTTAAAAAAGGTTGAGGAGGGGAGAGAAGAAGAAAAAAAATTACAGTCTATCCCTCCTATAAAAACCTATTTCAATATGACCCCGATGAAATCGCTAAACACAGAAACCGCTACACTCGTGGGAAAAATCTAAAACGAAGCGGGAGCGTTGCGAGAAGGAAGTTCTCCCGCCTCTACTCTACACCTTCTCTGTCTCCCTCCACACTATCCCTCACCCTCCACCGATCGTGTCCCATAGGCAGGATGTAAACATTTCGCAAACGATGGAAATCTGCAGATGTCAATTGCGGACCATCTCTTTCATGCTCACGCGGGTGGAAACAAACTATTATTCATCGTCTTCTGCTAATATTATTTAGTTTACAGAATCGTCTGCCTTCGAACTGAAATCGTCATTGTTTACCTGTGTGATTTGTTTAGAAAAGTTTCTGTGAGGTTGTGTTTTTATAAAGCCGTGCTTCACCTTAAGTCACCTCATCAATGGCGTAATTTAGTCGTTTCTCGTCTCGCCGCCGTAAGTAGCTGCAGGCCGTATGTGTGTTTTTGTGTTATATCGATATTGCGTCCGCGCTGTTTTTCGAATCACCTCGGGTTTTGCTGCGTAGTTGGTTTTGTGAGGGGGGGAGGGGAGATCTTGACGTGATTTATATTGTGAAATTGAAATTAGTGGATAACGTTTGCGTTTTTTTTGTTGATTCTCGTTGCTGATTATCTGTTTTAATTAGTGAGTGTCTCAAATTATTTGTTTGATTATTTTTCTATTTTTAAACACCTGCATATTTAATAGGAAAAATGTTTTGCTTTTTTTTGTCAGATTAAAAGAAATAATTTTTTTTAAATTGTTTGCAGTTTGAGAAGGTTTTAAAAATAGATAACAAAGATTAATTGTTTTTAATTTTCATGCACGATTGCATTATTGAAAATAAATGTTTTTATTTTTACATATTTTAAAGACAGTTGAATGACTATTATTTTATATTTTTCTTTGAGCTTTTTTATACTTTTTATATTTTTCTTTAAGCTTTTTTTATACTTTTTATATATTTCTTAAAGCTTTTTTTACACTTTTTATATTTGTATTTTAAATTAAGTTCAAAGAGTTAGTGTTTAAAATTATTATGAATTTTATTTTTGGGTACTTCTATAAACTAATTAGCAGTTAAATTTATTTAAAGACTTTTTTTTCTTGTCTAGTACAGAGTACCCGTGATCTTACATAATCAGAGTAAAAGATAAGGAATGGGGGATGTGCTTTATTTACATAGATAATGGCTCATCCCTAAAATTGTTGTTACAGTATATTATAATTGAGCAAAATTAATGTTTTTTTTTATATAAATCGATTTTTTTTCTATTTTTAATTTTTTTTTATTTTCCAGCCGAATGGTCTCATAATATATATTAATAATACTTATTTTAAAAACGATGATATAGCTTATGTCTGTAACTTAAGTGTTTGAAATTATTATAAACTAAAAATTCAGAATAAAATTATAGTGTTCATATTTAAGCTAATCATCTGAAAATTTTAAAGACAGTTTTAAAAATTTTAATTATTGGTTTAAAGTAAATTGGTTTAGAAAAGAGTGCATTAATAGAAAAAAATTATTCTAGGCTTCTCTAGGCCAGTGTTTCCCAAACTTATGACTTTTGTGTACTTTTTCTAAATTTTTCGTAACGCTGTGTTCCACTAATAAAAAAATTAATGTATTTTTTTAAAAAATATTTTTATTTTTATTAACATATTTTAGTTATTAACTGTTAACTCTGTAAAAAATAGCGAATAGAAAAATACGTTATCGTAAATTTTCACGGCTAGCTTTGTTTTTAAATAAATTTTTTTGAAATTTTCATTTGTTGCAAGATATTTTGCATAAGAACGCGCACCCCAGCTAAATTGTTCCCGTACCCCTGGGGGTACACGTACCACACTTTGGGAAACACTGCTCTAGGCAAAACAAATCTTTCTTCAATATTCATATACACAATGTGATTTCTCTTGAATATTTAGTAGAAATATATTAAGTTGAGAATGTAGTTTTTATTTTGGAATATTTCCATATTATGATATGTCCTGCTAACTACACTTGCAAAGGTGCCAAATGGATTTAAAAAAAGAAGAAAAAAAAAGCATGCAAGTGTTGCCCTGGGGGTTGATATGAGTGATACCCTTCCAGTTGGTTCTTTTCTGTGATACTTTTTAGTTTTTCACAGACCACTGCCTGGAAGTTGCCAAGATAGTGATTATTCTGCAGATCATGATGCAGAAGTCTACTCTTTATTTTAATAGACAGTTGGGCCAAATAATATTAAGTGTCTTGTCAACTAACAGACAGAAGTATTATAGAAGTTCAAAAGTATGCATTTCACATCTTTTATGAAAAATAATTAACTTAATATGTTACAACATTTTATAAAAATAAATGAAATGTATTAAAGTGTTGTTTCTTTAATGAATTTTAAACTTGCATATTTAAAAAAAAAACAACAAAAAAACATGTAGAAGTTTGCCTGAGGGTACCTACGAGTTATACCTTTTAAGTCAGTCAATTTTTAAAAATTTTTTCTTTATTTAAGTTTCTCGACGAGCCACTGCCCGTACTTGGACTAGACGATTTTATTGCTGCAGATCAAGTTACGGAAATATCCCCAAAATGTCACTTTTTTATTTTTGAAGAATTTATTTTTCTTTCTTTTATTAAAATTTTTTATATAATTTACGATTTAACATGTGAACGAATTGAAAGTGTAAGACAGATTTGTCAATCTGCCAAAATTTAGTTAGAAATTTTGAGTAATAAATAACATATATATTCCCGTTGTCCACAGCTCATGCATAATTCACTTTTGTTTATGCATGGTATTGCCTGGAAGATTTTAATAAACATTATCAGTTTTGGTTTTTCAAAGATTGAAATGTTAAATTATTTATCAGTAGGTTTGTTATGATTTATTGCATATTTTATTTACAAATTAAATTTTCTTTTTTATCTTTAGATAACACTGTCACTGAACCAAAATCAACTTTACCACCTGGTGTTACTGAAAACGATGTAAATATTTTCAGAAACGTTCAAGAAACTGCTTTACAAGTAAGATAATTTTTATGTATTTCATTTTATGAAAACCTTAAGTTTAATTTTAGGTTCCTAATTTTTAGCATTTTGAAACTATGCTTATTAGTCAACCCAGCAAATGTCAAAATTCTATAACTTTTATTCTTTTTTTCGCTATACTGTAGCTGATTATAATGTTCTTTTCAGTGAATATTTTTTTATGACTGTCGTTGAACAGTTGCCCTTTTAATTCAGGGTTTACGGCTAATAATGTTAAACTTAATAGCCTTGTAATTTTTAACCCAATCCAGAAGACACGGGAACTCCTGGATCAAATATTGAGAGAAATTTGCCTTCGTGGAGGACTTTTTGATGGAACTAACTTGCATTTGTGTTGCATGGAGCAGAAAACTACGAAAACCTTCCACGGTTAGCCGGTCTGTAAGGGGAATCTAACCCATGATCAGTCTACCACTGAGGATATTTTGCGTTAGCACTATGGTCGGTGCGAGCTTTGTTTGGAATTCGACTCAACCAGCTATCGCTGGGATCAAACCCTGGTCACCTCATTGGGAAGAGAGCGCTCTATCCCCTGAGCCACCACATCTCATTCAGTGAATATTATATTTGTAACATCTATTTTTTAATATGTATTAATACTTTGGCAATATTTCTGTATCGGGACCTGTTGCGCCAAATACAACTGCCAAGACTCTAAACAGATTTAAAATTTGAAATTTCTTTTTAAAAAAAAAAAAATTGTAGAGGTTTGCCGAAGCGTGGCTATAAGCCTGCGAGACAGTGGGGAATATTTCCGTATCGTGATTTGTCGCGCCAACTACAATCGCCAAGGTGCCAAATAGATTTTAAACTTGCAAATTTTTAAAAAAAAAACGAAAAAACATGGAAATGTTTGCCCGGGGGTGGCTGCAAGTTATACCTTTCGAGTTGGTCCCTTTCTGTGATGTTTTTTTTAGTTTCTCTCCGGCCACTGCCCGGAAGTTTCCAAGACTTGGTGATTATTCTGCCACAGATCAAGTATACAGAAATCTCCCCAGACGGCGTCTGCTATAATAATTTTTTTTGCTTCTTGCGGGCCGCTGCTGGGAGGTTACCTAGACTTTCGGATTATTCTGCCACAGATGACAATATGGTAATTGTCCAAACGCTCTAAATACAAATCTAATTCGGATCTTAAAATTACTCTTTATCTTAGATAATTTTAGAAATTAATATTACTCTTTATTACTTTACAGCTTTTTTTTTTTTTACCAAAACCTTATTTATATTTTTGTGATGAACTACAAAATCTGAATTATTTAGCTTCCCCCCCCCCCTATCGTTTATCATTTGTATAACTTGTGTATTGTATTTTCCAAGTTTTTATTAAAAAAAAAACAACTTATTTTGGTAGGCAATGGGTCATGGTTCAATTCCTCCAGAGCCACAAGGTAGAAGTCCAGGTGCAATTGAATTTGGCAAGTTTGGTATTGAAACATGGTATTCTTCTCCATATCCTCAAGAATATGCTAGGTATTTTTTTTTTTTTAAATCTCTGAAAGTTTTTATGCATTGTTTAATTTATTATTTGACAACTATGGGGTTTGAATTTATCGATTACTTTAAGTGTATTTTTGATCATGTTTTTGTCAAGTGTTATTAATAGTTCATAAAATTACCTTACGTATTCTTACTTAAATATCTATTTTTACTGAAACTTAACTACTTATAAGATTTATCAACATTCATAAATCCTGTCAGGTTCAGTAAGTTTGTTTCTGTTGAATATTTTTTTATATGTTTTTATTAAAATATCTATTCTAACTTATCCATAACTGGCAGTTATATTTTCCAAATCAATCAATCAAATCTAATAATTCTAATCTTTTAGCTTCATGTTATACTAAATTATATGTTATTATGGATTTATTTTTTTAGCATGTGAATTCATGTTTGTATATCACGTTGTTTTTATAGGTTGCCTAAATTATTCCTCTGTGAATTTTGTTTGAAGTACATGAAGAGCAAAAACATTCTCCTTAGGCATATGGCAAGTGTTTGATTTTGATTTTCATCATAAATATGCTAAACTTTCTTTATAGTTGTATCATTTTTACTGCTGTTTATTATTTTTATGTCCTTTAAATACTAATGCACTTTATATTTAAAGTATAGTGTTGGACTTAGTTAAGAAAATATTTTTTATTATAACAATGAATAATATTATTTCAAAATTTATATCATAACAAAATTTATTTTATTATATTTCATTTATTTTATTATATTAATGCAGATTTGGTTTCAAAGATTTAGTTTCCAATTCCATTAAGATCAAATTTAAATCTAGTATGAAAATTTAATTCTTAATATTGTTTTAATGCTGTTTTGTATTCATTATTTTAATTACATTTGACTGAACACAGTTTTGCATAAAAATTTTTATCCAATTAAATATAACTTTCAAAAAATATAATCACCTTTAAATTATTGTGCAACTACATTTAAATAGGTGTAGCGTTTTAAAAAAGTGCTTAAAGGTGCTTTTTTTTTCATTTTTTAAGAGCCCTTAAAGGTATTATCTTTTATTAGGTGTTTTTAAAAAATGCTTAATTTTTCCTTTTTGAAAATGAGATTTTTTTCTTTATCATGTTAATTTTCTCCACATATTATTCAAAAGCGTAGTTTTCACAATTCATTTAAACATAATACATTTCAGTGTACCGTCATAAAAGTGCCAATCATTTTACTTGTTTGACGAAATACTTGCAGGTCTGCATGTGCATCTACTGGGGTGGGTTCGGTGAGATTCTTGCACTCTCATGTCCAACTCTGCAGCATTTTGCGAGATATTCTCAATTTCAGGCTTCTTTTTCCACTCTTTGATATTGAACTGAAAAATCTCTCGACCTTTTTATGGTGGTTAATATAATCAAGAAAAGAGTTCTTTGTCAGAAACTAGTTATTTTATCATGATCATGTAGTCTTTGAAAATTATTTCGCATTTTGTTAATGTATATAGTGCTTACATTTTTTTAAGTGCTTAAAAAGTACTTAAATGTACTTATTTTCCCTTGAACGATTTGGCTACGTTAACAGACCCAAATTTCTTCTGAACAGACCCTGCTTATCTGCATTTTTTTTAGACAGTAAGAATTTATGGGCATTAAATTTAGTGAGTATTTGACCGTTAAAATTGTAAGATTTGACTATTTATGTTATTATATTTTTGTTATTCATTTGCATGTTGATGTTCTTAAGGTTTAATGTGCTTTTTTTTTCAAACAGAGAAAATGCAACTGGACACACCCACCAGGAACAGAAATTTATCGCAAAGATGAACTGTCGGTGTTTGAAGTTGATGGGAATGTGAATAAACTGTACTGTCAAAATGTTTGTCTTCTTGCTAAATTATTTCTGGACCACAAAACTCTGTATTATGATGTTGAGCCTTTTCTGTTTTATGTGTTAACAATAAATGATGCTACAGGCTGCCATTTTATTGGTTATTTCTCTAAGGTAAGATTGGTTTGATGTTTAGTGTTGATTATTTTTATCATTTCTATCCTCTGTGTTTGATGGTTAGTGTTGATTATTTTTATCATTTCTATCCTCTTGGTTCGATGGTTAGTGTTGATTATTTTTATCATTTCTAACCTCTAATGAGTAGTTGCTTTCAATTAATGAAACCTACCAAACTGCTTTTGTCGATGAAGTATGGACAGGTTAAAAGTCTTGAAAGTGTATTTAATATTTACTCTTGAATTTAATTTGTCTTTTAATAGATTACTTTTTTTAAAATTGCCTTGTAAAGGAAAATGTATTGTAATTAACATTAGATATCTTTTAGTACTTATAACCAAGTGGGAGGTATACTTTTTTATATTGAGAAAATTGTTTATTTTAAGTGTTATGTATATATACAAATATATTTTTTTATTTGAATGTGTATTTATGTATAAGTGTTTGTGTAAAACTTAAAATAGATGAACAGTTTTCTAAAAACGAAAAGTATCTTTCTTCTTGCCCTTAGCCTATGCTTATACCATGCTAGTTTTGCTATGTGTTTCACTTTTACATTGCTTTGTGGTATGAATAAGTGCTTAGTCTGCTATTTTAAGACAATTTTTTGAATTTTGGAATAAAGGAAACAAAAGTTTAGCTTTTTCACTAGAAATAAGATTATTTTAAGCTCATTTTCAAGTATACAGTTCAGCTACTTTGTATATGAAGTGTCAATATGTGCGTTTAAACCATGCTTACCTATTAATTTGTTTTTAGGAAAAGTTATGTCAACAAAGGTACAATGTTTCTTGCATTATGACTATGCCTCAATATCAACGCCAGGGGTATGGAAGATTTCTGATTGACTTTAGTAAGTATATTAAGTCTAAATAATTTTGTTATTTTCTAGGGAAGGGTATATCAGTGATATGTTTTAAAATGTTGTCATAACATTTCTTTTTTAAAAATACTTGTTACATTTAGTATAATAAATTGATATAAAGTTGCTCATGTATATTTTTATATATTATTTTGAATTTTATTCATTTTATGCTGTAAGTTAATAATCTGATATTACTCATCCTGTTAGTTTTATTTAAAAGATCAGGGCCTTTAATGTTTAAAATTGTAATTTAAGAATATTTTAATAAACTGTGCACCAAAGAATTTTTTTTCCTTGCTGCACAGAGTGATTTAATAAAAAATTGACAAAACTTAAGGGGAAAGATAAAGTACATCAGAAAGATTGAGAATTGCATAGAAACCCATGACTGTAAATGTGATTTATAGCTACTAGTGGCACCTTTCTTATTATGAACTGTTAGTCTGTGCACTAAGTTATCTTAATTTTTTGTCCATTTTAAATGTTTTAGTTATTAAAAATTGTGTTCCAGGAAATAGCTATTTTTTTCATAATCATTAAATTTCTGAGTTAGTTATTCTCAGAAATTCCATTTCAATAATGGAATTCCTGAGGATAATTGATGCAACCCTTGGCCATTACCTTTTTTAACATATTATTTTGTTACTTATATTTAAAGTATTATAAGCAGGAGGATTCATTAAGAAAAAAAGTTAAAATTGATTGAATCTTCTTTGTTGGATAGTTTTATTAATTAATAGATAACTATAAAACTCAAAAGCAATGTTTATGTATATGTATGGAATTTAATGTTAGTACATTAAAAGAAAGAATATTTATTAACCTGCTATTAAAAGAAAGAATATTTATTAACCTGCTGCTTTAGTATTTATTTCATAGTTTGTATTACTAAATTATGGGAATTCCAATTTAAGATGTTTATTTTCTTAAAATTTTTCTGAATTTAATTTTTTAATTTAATATTTAACTCCTTCATTATTAAAAGAAACAAGATTTGACCCCAAGTCACTAATAAGCGGTCAAGTTTTTCTGTGAGAAGCTAATTTTTCCTTTTGCAGTTAATGTGATAATGTCACAATTATTCGAGAAACTGGCTTCTAAGAATTTCCCCCGGTTCCCAAAATTTTATTTATTTTGTCAGTACGTGTTAATAACTTACCAGTTTTTCAGTGACTATTTCTCTATTTTGTAAAATTGTTTCACCTTATATCAGCTGAAAATATTTTTCTTTGAAAACTTGTTTTTGTTCGGATACTATTCTAATGTTTTCATAATAAATGTATCTTAAATTTAATGGTTAAGCGTAACATTTTTTTAGCCCCCCTTTTTTTGCATGTTATATTATTATTAATTAAGTACTGCTATAGCTTTATTATGAACAGTAGAAAAATTTGTAGACTTCATTGTCGTATTTAATTTTAATTTTCATAAAAGTGAGTAATTTCTTTTTAGGTAATTATCATTGTAAGGGGACATATGATATGCATATAAAATATGCATATTTTCAGCTTGTATTTTTTTTTTTTTTAGGTTTAAATAGATCTTTAATGATAAATATTTATTATTACTGCTTTTTATTATTTTATTACGTTTTCAAGATTATTTTATTATTTTATTACATGAATAATTTAGCAGTGTCAAAATGTGGATATTTGTTAATTTGAATATTTTGTTCTAGGTTACTTGTTATCTAGAAAGGAAGGCTTGCCAGGTACTCCTGAAAAACCTTTATCTGACTTAGGTAAAATAAGTTATATGTCATATTGGAAAAGTGTATTACTAGAATATATCCATGAATGGCATGAAAAACAAAGCAATCATCAAATAAATATCAAAAGTAAGTTTTATTTGAATAATTTTTTCATAAAAAATATCTTGTTTTATTGTTCTACAATTATACATGTAATGTTTTGTTTTCTTATCGTATTTGATTCATGTTTTTTTTTCTTCTTCATAATTTCTTATTTACAATTTTGATTCACAAGCAATGCAGCTGAAAAAAAAATGTTATTTCTTCTGATTCTAGTAAAAAAAAATACTTGTTAAAAATTATGATTCAAAGAAGCATCTATATTTCTTTTTTGTTAATATTACAGGTTGTACAAGAATTTGTGTCCCTAAATTAAAGTCTTAAGTAATAAAAAAGTAAAAGATTCCAAATTTCTTTTTATTAATTTTTTCATCTTCTATTGGGCGATAAAATATGATAAATTGCGATTGAAAATTTTTTTAATATTTTTATTTATTTCTGCATTTAATATCGATTAATAATAACTATGATATAATTAAAAATTAATTTTTTGAATTAGTGCATCAAACAATAGTTGGATTGCAGATGAGTTTCTCCAACATTATATCTCCCTGCACAGAAAGGTGCTCCAAAATTTTTAATTTCATTTTATAATATTAAACAAAATAATGGATTTATAAAATAATAGTCCATATAAATAAAACCCCACAAATTAAATTCTCAGTATTTCATTTTTCCTTCAAATATATAATCATTTGACTAATTTTTTGCAGTATGTGGATAAGACCAAAAGTAGTTTTTTTTTTTAAAAAAATATTTTTCAATAAGTTGTTAGAGATGAAACTTTTAAGGCGGAAAAATGTAACAATCAGAATAATTTAATTGTGTTGATTTTAAAAGAAAAATCATAGCAGTTATTACCCATTTCATTATATTTTATGTTTTCTTACAAATATTAGCATATGCAAAAAGTATTGATACTTAAATTTTTTTTAAACTTGATTGTACTTTGAAACTCAGTTTGTAAAATAGAAATTTTATTTGTTAGATATAGCTCAGGAAACAGGCATAAGTGCTTTAGACATAATTAGTACCATGAAGGAATTGAATATGATTCAGCTAAATGAAGAAAACAAGTAAGCATATGTTCAATTTTTTCATTTAACTATAAATTATTTTATGTATCTTATTTTATGATGTTTCTTATTTACTAAAGTTCAAAAACTTAATTGAATTGTTATGGAAATGTTAGTTAATAAAAGGTCTTAAAATTAATTTTAGGTTAATAAAAGTCAAGTCTTTAACATTACATTGTAATAAAATTAACATATTCTTAATAATATGTTATTTTATTAACATATTATTGCCCCTTTTTTTAGGCTTATAATATCTTTGAGCAGAAAAGTATTAGATGAGCACATGGACAAAGTAGTTGCAAATCGTCACAAAAGAATAGAATTAGATCCAGAATGCCTACGTTGGATACCGTTAATTACTAACCACCTATATTCTGATAAGGTTTGTTTTCATTATTTGTATAGAATGCTTGAAAAAATTTTGCTTACATAGTAAGTAATAATTTCACAAGCATCCTTTTTTAAATGTACTTAATATTTGTTTAATAGTCTGTAACGTTTTTACTATTTTTCTTTGTAGTTCACGAATCAAATTTATGTGGGTTGAATTTTAGTAACGACAACTATTTTTTTTACAGCTGATACACTGAGATTTTTGTTTCAAAGTAGTCATTCAGGGTTCCCATGGGTCAGGGAGAACAGGGCAAACCTGGAATTGTCAGGGGAATTTTATTTCAACTCCAAAAATCAGGGAATCAATTTTTTTTTACAAAAACCTGGAAAATTCCTTCGTTATACCTGGAAACAAACCAGTCTTAAAATTGTCAGTAACAGTACTCAGTTGTTGAGATTTGAGTTAAATAATTCTAACATCTATAACAATTATTTATTGTAAAAATTTCACATTTTAGACAAACTGAAATGCTTCCTTCCTCATATATTATATTTATTTTACATAGAAAATCTAATACTTGGCATTACCAATAAAAGAATCAAAATTTTCTGAAGAAAAATTTTGTAGTATGGATAAAATATGGTATTGATTTTCATTGAAATTTACCTAATATACCTGGAAAATCAGGGAATATTTTTTTTCTGAAATTGAGTGGGAATCCTGCACACTAGTGGTGCCTGTTCTTTCAATAGTTTTAATGGAATAGCATTTTAACTCCTGAAGAATCTCTAGAACAGTATATTGTAAAATATTCCTAATTCCATATTTATTAAAAAAAATAATAAAAATGCATATGTGGTACATTTTTGGTAAAAAAAGTGATGATTGGGAGACTTTTTTAATCACCATTTACCAAATTTAGTGGCCGTAGGTAACTATTAGTTTTGCCACCTCAAGGCTCTGTTCTTTTTGTCAGTGCACTACGTGTGTGCATGATATTGAAGAAAGAATCCATTTGCCCTGAAGTAAAGGATAATATAATGTGTGGAACAAGTATTATATGGTTGGGTGTAATCTCTACAGCAGTGTTGCTCCCATATAAGCTTCAACCCTCATATTTCCCCCATTTAGTAGAGCTGCACGATGTTAAGATTTTGGCATCATAACGCATCGTCATGTTAACATCTTGATATTTCGATGCATCTTGATGTTTCGGTACAATAATATTTGACATTTAGTTCTGCGTAAATTTGCAATTAGTAAATTGAATCTTTTTATAATTAATTCTCAATGTTTACAGATGTGGATTTCTGCAAAATAGCGGTTAAAAAACATTAAATGGCTGGATTGAATGTAGAGAAATCAACAAGATTTGTACACACACAATTAAGAAAAAACCCTTCCCTAACTAAAAGATTCAGCAACACTTTGATTCTCAATCGCATTCGCATTCATCATGTCAGCAAAACGATGAGTCCCGATGTAAAAGGGACCGGGAAAGATAGCGATCATCACCGCAGCTATCTCTGCACATTTAAGGAGGATAATGCTCTTCGTGTGAGCTTGCAGACATTGATGTACGATCGGGAACTATGCTTAACATCGCGTGTGTAGACATCAATATCAATGATACATCGGGAAATATCGAAAACATCTCAGCAAATCACAATATCCGATGCTTCGAAAAATATCCAATCTAAACATCAGATTGGCGATGATTGCATTGAATCGATAGTTTCTGATGCATCAATTCATTACCCATTCAGTATTAATTATTTCACATTTATTTCAATGTTATCTATTTATTTTTTTCTTTATTGGATCACAATATTTTTATATTATGTTTCAGAATGAAGATGACTCCGATAACTCAGGGAGTGAAACTACTCCATCGCCAACTTCTGAAAGGACTTATAAATCATGCTCTACAAAACCAGACAACAATTCCGAAAAAGAAAATTATGACCAGACGTTTCATAAATCTGAAAAGTACCTCAAGTATAAAAGAAAATCAGATAAAGTGCAAGATAGCGTTGATGCTGTTTTGGATGAAAATGTTGTTAAAAGTGATTTATTTGGGAAAGACTTAAAAGAAAATAATTCTACATCATCTCTGCAAGAAAGTACAACTCCAGAAAAACCAGTCAAACCTCCTAAAAAACACAAGAAAAAGAAGAGCATATTTGAAACTAAAGTATTCAAAAATAAAAAGAGTAAGTTTTTTTAAATATAACTTTTTGATTTCTATAGTTTTTCCTTTACTAAATCATAAAAAAGGATGAAAAGGTGTGATGAAATTAGGAGCTAGCTTTAACTCACCATGTCCCGGTGTCGAAGATTTTTTTTAGAAGTTCGACTAAACAAGATGTGTTTTTATTTTAAAAATATTTAGGTTATATGTTGTTAATGTTGTCAGCATCTTTTTATCTTTATTAATACAATGTTTAAACTCAGATGAAAATCAGATAAGCTAGTAGTATTTTAACTAACATTGTACCTTACTCATTTTTCTTGAAAAACACAAATTTTTGCTTTTGGTTGTTTTACTTATCAGTTATTGGAAAAAATAAATTAAACATTCATAGTTAATAGTTTAAATTATTTAAAATCAGTTTTTTAAACACTTCTTTTAAGATTGCTGTTAGTTTATCATAGTTTGCATTGTACTATAAAATACTACGTTTCTAATATACATAAATAGTATAGCATTGTGTTTATTTTTCAAAACTTCGAATTTTATCTTCTATCTATGAATTCTTCTAAATTTGTTAATATTTCTCATTTGATTTGCAATTTTTATGACAATATATTTAAGGTCCTAAATAATTATGTTATTTTTAGGAAAAAATAAGAATAATCTTTTGAAGAAAGTGAACAAATTACAGATGAAAAAACTTGAACGTAAGAAAAAGCTTTCCAAGGAAGTAAAAAGATTGGCCAAAATACTTAATTCTAACCCTAGCCTAATGGAATCTGCATCAAACAGAAAATTGCTCAAGTTAAAGAAAAGAAATAGAAAAGAATACAAAAAAGCCGAATATAGCATGAGATTACGGCACCAGAAGTTAACTTTGTCAGAAACTGAAATCGCTTGCGAGCAGCCTATGACTGCTAGTGGCTCTCCAATTATTGAAGATCCTATTCTAGACAGTATAATTCCAGAAAAAGAAAGTACTGAAACCAAATCCAACTCATCTCCTTCTGTTGAAAATGATAACAGTACTACACCACCCTGTTTGATGCCTGCTACTAGTACAGAAAGCTTGGTGGAACAAAATCAAGCTCCAGTTGATCCTCCTTCACTTCAAGCTCAAAATTCAGAATTTAAAGAATCTGAGGAAATTAAGGAAGATTCTGAGGAATTAAATTGGAGATCTTTGCCTAGGCGAGCTAAAAGACCTGCACCTTCCTCGCCTGTGAAGAAGCCACCAAAGAAAAGAGGTCGACCCAAGGTAAGAAATGATATTAATTACTTAATGAAACTCAAAGAAAAAGACTAGTCATTTTACTGAAAATAAATATATTTTTACACTCGGTAGCTGAGCAGTGGGGGTTTGCTCTCCCGTGCCACAGGTCCTGGGTTCGATCCTTGGGTCGGGCAAGGTTGACTCAGCTTTTCATCCCTTCAGTGGGTCGATAAATGAGTACCAAGCATGCGTGGGAACTAAACACTGGGGGTTTCGCGTTCGGCTGGCCACCTAACTGGAACATCTGCTCCTGCACCCCAGAGCCCAAGGTCAAGAAAACTGAGATGGGTACAGTAGGCCTTGGCTCTCTATGGGCTGTCACGTCACTGAGTTTAGTTTAGTTAAATATATTTTGGTTAATTTACTGCAGGGCTGATTGTGCTATGGCAAAAATCCGGATTTTTCGCTAACAGTGATCCGGAAGTTTCCAGAGATCGAAGGTCCAGACGTTTAAAAAAATCATTGATCACAGAAGTTTCCGGAAATTAAATTTTCAAAGGTGGAACTTAAAAACATAGTTCATTTTATTTGTTAGTAAGGGAGAGCCAGATACTTTATAAGCTTATATTCATGATTAATATTCATTTTTTATCAGTAAATAGTNATATCTATATATATTCTTGGATTTCCTCTTTTTTACTCTCTGACTACTCTCATCCCTGACTTCTCATCATTAAATCAGGCATGCCTCTGTTTTCTTCAGAAGACTTGGTTAACAATTTTAAAACAACAAACATTTGATATGTTTAACTGGATAAAAATAAATTGAATTTAATTTTACAAAAGTGATCAAAGCACCTTATCTATATTAATTAATTTGCTGTTTCAGAATTTTTATGACTCTAAAATGATAACTTGAAGAAAACTTGTTTAAATAAAAATTTTTACTGTGAAACTTAAGTGAGAATTTGGGTAGAAACTTAAATTAAATCTTGTATGATGGAAATTAGTTGTCTGAAAATTTGAATTGCTCTTTTTTTTTAAACAATTTATTTAAAATGATTTTAATTTGTTTAACAATTAATTTATAATAAGATTGTTAAAATGGTACATTTAGTGGTTATTACCAAATTATAATTTTTTTCATTATTTACGTGTATTAGAAATCAGTGAAACACCAATTAAAAATATTAAGTTCCGTTTTTTTTTAAAAATGTTTTTAAAACAATTATTTTTTAATGAAATATTACTGTGTCTTCAGTAGTTTCAATGAAGTTATATTTGATAATTTGAGTAATATATAACTTGGAATTAAAACTATCAAACATACTTGAAAATTTCAAAAAATTTCAGCTTTCAGAACAGCTGTGATATGTTTTTTAAATATAACTCAGAAATGTATTGTGATGTCTTCAAATTTATCCAGTTCTCTACATATTTTTTCTTTATGTGATCCAGATGATTGACAATCTATATTGGAGTTTTGTTTAAGTTATACTCAAATAGAATACTTCAAATAGAAAAATGAATAAACTAACTCTTCGGAATTTCCTTTTATTTGGTTAACATAGGTCTAGAAATTTTTATTCTGTATTTTTATGCCAGACTTAGTGTGTGTACAAGACCATTTGATCAATTTAACTAGTAATTCACTTTAGGTTTCTAACAATATAGCTGATTTAGATTCTTGTGCTAATCAACTCATTTCAAAACTTATTATAATATATATTCATTATTGTTTTAGTATGTAAATAAGTAATAATAAATTGATGATTTTATTAAAAAAGAATAGTCACATTATTTCTGGTAACTTAAAATTGCTATTTCAGATGTCTGAGTCGTTTAGTGGTGCTGTGGAAGATGCTCCTTCAAATAAAGATGAAGAAAATAAGATTAACTCTTCAACTGATAATGCTGAGCCCTCAACAGATGTTACCATGCCTTTAACAGATAATAAAGAACCTGATGCTCTCTTAGTGAACAATAACAAAGAAAATGATGATCCTGGTATCAAACAAGAATCAAACTCAACACCTACTTCTACTTACAACTTGGTGGACAACACTCAAGATATTGTGAGTAAAGACTTGAATAATGTATCATTAAATGAGACCTCTTTGGCTGTTAATGATGCTGACAAGTGTAAGAACATAAGCTGTGATATGGATGAAATTAATACTCTTGAAAATGTTATTCGTGGTGAAAATGAAATAAACAATGAACCTCGAGAAAATCAAACAAAAAATTCAGAACAAAACCAAGAAAGCGACTCCAGTTATTCTTCGTGTGTTGAAGAGATGGAAATAGATGATCGTGAAAAAATTGATTCTAATAAACTTTCAAATTTCAAAGACCAGTTAAGCGAACAAAAGAAAATACTTTCTGATTCTGATAATGCAAGTTCAAAGAAACAACTAAAAGAAGAGACTAGTCTCTCTCTTGCAGAAACTGAAACTGTTAGACTGTCTCACAATTCAGGAGATAAAACAGAAAACTTATCCACAGATTATGAGAAATCTGAAACTTCTAATTTAATTGAAAGCAATGGAAATATTTCTGATAATGATCAGATTAACGAACAAGATAAACATGTTGAAAATTTAGAAGTGTCACGAGGTGGAAGCCCTCCAAGCTGTGTTGTTTCTTCAGATGGCAGTGAATTAATGCAAAGTCAACCCCAATCTGCTGATGATTTTTCAGAATGTTCTAATGATGTTAAGTCAGTAGTGTCCTCTATATGTGACCATGTAAATGATAACAATCAGCCTGTAGAGGATGAAAATCAGGTTGTAAATGATGATAACCAGCCCGTGAATGATAATAACCAGCCTGTAAATGATGATAAACAGTCTGCAAATGATAATAACCAGTCTGTTAATGATAATTACCAGTCTGTTAATGATAATAACCAGTCTGTAAATGATAATAACCAGTCTGTAAATGACAATGAACAACATTTTTTACCAAACTCTCCAACTGTCAAATCTCCTGAAGTCTCTCCTGAAAGCTGTCACGATGAACTTACAAATTCAAATCAAAATTCAATGCAACAAAATAAATCTGAAATAACCATGCTTAATTCAAATAATATTGCGTCACACGAATATTCTAATGTATCTGTTGTGAGTTGTAATGCTCCACATTATCTTTCTGAAGGAGATGAAAGCTTTCACTCTAACCAACTACCGCCCACCCCCCAAACTCCTGCTTCTGACAATGGACATCATCAACAGCCTGTCTCCGCTGGTACGTCGGGTGACGAATGTCACAGTTTAAGTGAAGGAGAATTTACCAATGGAGAAAATATGCTATCCCCATCAATTAGCAAATCAAGATTGTATCCTATGAAGGGTGATAGATTATACGATAATTGTGAGGAAATGCATACAGATTACGAATCAAGGTCACCTCAAGATGATTTAGGGAATGAAAACAATCAGTGCTATAACCGTCCAGCATCTAATCCAGCCTTACTGAGAAAAAATACCCCTACTCCAGATATGACCCATTTGGGTGTGTATACTCCAGATTCATCAACAAATAGTGGTTTTAATTCTATGGATGCAGATGTAAATAATATGAATTTAGAATCTCCATCCTCTTTGCATAGTAATGAACCAGCTCAACCAAATTCTATCGAACCCCCTTCAAGGACACCGCCTCAGCCGTACATGGATCAGGAGCAAATTCAAAGAAATTACTGTCAACCTGATAAGGGCTGTACACCAACGGAACCAGTCACAACAAGAATGAATAATCCATTGCTTGACAAAATGACTTGTTCAAATGCAGTTCAGCTAACACGTCATCAAATGCAACAATCTAACCATCATCATCAAAATGACATGTCTTATAACCAGCATCCTGCATCGACTGCTTTATCAAATATGGTTAATAATAATAATAATGTTGGTACCATTTTGCTTGGGCAGGCACAACCAGTTCAATCTAATAACTATCTCAATACAGTCAACATAAGAATGTCTTCCACGCCTCCTGCTTCTAATCCTGTAGGCAACTCCTATGTAGTGGGAGTTCCAATTACATCTGTGATTCAACAACAAACATCATCTTTGTCTCATCAGCAACCATCTAACCAAGCTAGTCGTGGTTCTATGCAAAGAATGGGCCATATTTCTATGCCAATCACCACATCATCATATTCAGTTCCAAATCCTTCATTTCATTTACCATCTGGCTACACTAACAGTAATGTCAACCAAGCTTCTCCTTGCAATTTAGCTAAACTTCAGCAGTTAACCAATGGCATTGTGGATCCTCAGCCCAATCAGGCAACTGGTTACCCAACCATGTCCCCATCACCATATAATTCACAATCGCATCAGTCAAATCTGACGCCTCCTCCCCAAAACCAACGCGCAATCGCTCCTGCAATACAAAACCAATCCCCCATGCCAGGTAATCAAGTTCACGGATATTCAAATTATAATCGTTATCACTCCAGGCCTGTACAAAGGACTCCTAACATAGCTATTTCTCCAAACATTGTTGCTAGCTACCCAGCATTCGGCGGATATCAAATGCAACAGCCATCTGCACCAACTATATTGAATACAGCGGGTTACATAACATCTGGACCTACAATGCCTATGAGTGTTGTGAATATGCATCCACAAGGACAATATCAAGAAACTATTCGAAACATTACACCTCAGGGTCCCATGTACGCATATGGTTATATAAATCAGAGTTTACCTCCTCAGGCTATGATGAGACGGTGATATTTTCTGGTACAGAACATTTTGTATAGTTATGAGATTGTAACTGTGGATGCAGAGCAGCAATCCAATCAAGTATTAATTTGGTTTGGTGAATCTCAAACTCAGCTGAATACTTATCAGTACTTAGTGTAATACCTCAAAATGAAATTGCAATCAATTCTATTTTGGAGAACTATTAAGTTTAGGTAAATATTTTGAAAAGGAGAAATGCTATGTACATAAATGTTAATATCATTTTCCATTTAGTTGTAAATACTAACTTTAAGTGTACAGTACTTCACAGTTTCTTTGTACTATAAAACATCAAACCTATTTGTTAAATATGTAAATAATTTGTTAGACATTTCTTAAATCATTTTTGAAATTACCATTTAGCGCATGGTATATTTATAAAACTTTCATTACTTCACAAGCATAATTAATATTTTAATTTTCACCCCCTGTTTAACATTTTTGTTTGTTATTTTGTTGTTTTTTAGACTTTGCCAGTTTGTTTAACTTGGTCGTTTTGCATGTCAATTAATTGTTATTTAAATAAGAGAAATTGTAAATATGAACTCTAAAGCAGACCAGTTTCAGTGTTCAACAGTTATTAACTAGTTCAATAACTTTGTTGCATTATAAAACAGTTAAAAAAATTAATGCATGTGAAATTTTTTTTGTTTATATTTATTCTAATCAAGAGAAAATTAGTATTTTTTACAGTATCATTATTTATGAAACTCAAATTTATATGTGAACATTTCTCTAAGTGTTAAGCTGACTGCTGTATTACATATTCTACATACTCTTTCAAACCAAACGTAAGATGTAACATATTTTTGTAATGAATTTTTTAAAAAGCTTCTAGTATTCATTGCTTTTAAAAGTAGTATTTATTTAATGCTTTTGTTTCACTAAACTATTGATTGTACATTCCATCTGTTTATGTAATGAGTTGATAACCTTCAAGTTACTCTATCAATAACATAACATTTAAAACTCATGAAATTATTTTTTTTTTTTTTATTAAATGGGGATTTATTAGTAACACTAATAGTAAAATCTGCTGGTAAATTTCTATTATCATATGTTAAATCATTTATAGTTATATTTTATTGTTAAAAGGATTTCTTACAAAGTATATGATAAATATAAATTAGAACTGTTAAAGCATTAGCAGTTGCTTTATTGGGTGAACACACCTTTCATTCATTAGGTGTTAATTAGGTAATGGTAGATTTTATTTTAAAAAACATATTCTCAGGACTTATCAATTAGTCATGAGAATTTACCAAGAGAATAATTTAAGATCTTGATCTGAAAAAATGGACTTTTGCATTTATTTATTCAAGCAATATTTAAAAATAATGAAGTTTTTTTTTGAGTATACTAAATGGAAAGATCAAAATTAATCAATACCTTAAAACTAATAAAATGTATAAAAAGATTCTTAACTTGATATGATTTTGTTAAATCATAGTTCTTTATCAAGGTATTTTAAGTCTAGATGAAATAGGTGTAGGATCCTTCAAATACCAAAAATCAAGCAAATCCCTAACCTTGCACTCATGCTTGCGTTGCATAAGATTTAAAAAAAATAAGGTAATTTTTTTTTTATTATCAGCAATCACTTCAATAAACAAAGTTTATTTGACAAGTTAATTTTACTTAAAAAATTAATTTAAATTCAGAAACTTATTCAGAAAGTAATTTTTGTTGCTCTGATTTTTTTTAAAAATTTACTTTAGTAGATATGATTTAAATATACTTGTGGTAGTTTTTTGACTTAATTGTTAAACTACATAAAGCGAAGAATTTTTTTTGTTTTGCTTCCATATCTTCTCCTTAGTGCTTACATAATATTTGAACTGACCTTTTTATGCAAAAAAAAAATCAGCATCTTGATTATTAAATACAGTAGGGAACCGATTATCCGGAATGATCGGCACCATCGCTATTCCGGATAACTGATTTTTTCGGTTTTCTGAATCGCTACAAAAGCCGTTTTTGTTAAACCCAACTAAAAAAAAAAATATTTGGAAATTATCTTAAAAAGAAGAAAAAACGATGAAGTAATACACTAATGATTATAAGTGATGGTAAGGTTAACATCTTTCAAAAAAGAAAGAAAAATCCTAAAATCTTATGAGGAAAAAAATTTTTTTTTAAAAAATGGCGGGAAAATGTATCGAATTTCGTTCCGGTTTTTTGGTTTTCTGATTTCCGGATAACGGGTTCTGTACTGTATATCGATATTATGTATTTATAATAATATATCAATTAGGCCCCATCATAAGATTTATCTCCTTAGTGGTAAAATCTTGGTATCATTCCCGGTTTTCTATAAAATTTAAGTTGCAATTTACATGATGTTATGCATTTAAAAGGAAATATATTTTAAATAGCTGTAATTTCTTGAGCTGAGCTCTTGTACTGATGAAGCTTTAATTCTGTGTTTAGTGAGAATTAATATTTAAACAAAGTTTTAATAATAGAGGAAGAGTTATAAAATCGATCAGTTCTCAATGTTGTTAAAAAAAATACTTGTAATATTCGTTAAATATTTATAGCAAATACAAAATAGAATCATATTTGTATAATTTTCTATTGTAATATTTATTATAATAAACATTCTACTCATTTGCAGTTGTATAAATTTGCACTTTTCTTTTTTTATTTAGATAGTTTGGTTATGAGGGTTTTTTTTACAATCGAATATGTCAATCATGTGATCCTGTGCGAATGTTTCATATTTTTGTAAGCATTTCAAGGTGTTGCAATTTTTATTTCATGTTTTAATTTTTTTTTAAAAAAGAAAACTGTGTGTCAGCAATAACGTGTTTTAAAAAATGCAGTGTGTATGAATCGTCATTTTCATCTATGCAATAAAATATTTTGTCTTTCTTTTGATAAAAAAAAAGTATTTTCTTGTGTTCTTCTCCTGACACTATTTTTCCCTTCGTTTGTTGTTAATGGGTCATTATTGTGGAGGGTCTATCTAAAATCAAAATTTCTTAGGGCAAGGATTTAGTTTCTTTAAAGGCATATTATAGAATAAAAAGTAGCATAACTGCTTTTTAATAAATGAAATTACACAAAGACAATTATTATTTTTGTTGACATATTAATATTATCTGAAATAAAATAAATAAAAATGATCTGATTGAAGATAGGGTATACTTTGTGCTATATTTATGCATGAGTAAAGCTTAGATAAAGGCAAATGGACAAGCACCACGGTAGCATGTGCATTTCTTTACTATTTTGCTTTATTTATAAATAAAAGTGATTAGAAGTATAGTATTTTGCTTTTTAAGTCTGTATACATTCGAACATATTATTTAGCTGTATAATCAATCTGTGTTTGAAAACACTTATGTACTGTCATTTTTTAACTCTATTTAATAGCTTCCTTTTTGTTGGCACTTACATATTTTAAGTATCATATATTTTTCATGGTATTTAAATAGTGTGCAAAATTAAATTGAAACTTCTAACCAATAATGGGATAAAATAAGTTGATTGTTGCATTCTTTACCTTTTTTTTTTTAACTTTGTAGCTCAACCGTGGCAATTGTTAAGTTGCTTTTATTTGCTCATGCAAAATCGCTTGTTGGTAGAGTGGACTGTTATCTTTTTTTTTTATTAATACAATTTTGTTTTGGAAGAGATAGAAAATTTTTGTTAATATTACATTACATTAAGTGAAGTGACAAATCTCAAACTGAAAACACATCAGGATGAGCAGTTTTGGTTGCCATTATTAAATAAAAATATCACTGGTGCAAATTAGCTGCATGGTATAACTATATTTTTTAAAATATGCAGCTGAAAAAGAAAAACAACTTTGATTTAGATCTTAGCCTAACAGACACCTTCAAAACTAATCTAGAAAATTGCTAGTTAAACATGGAGGATTTATGTTCCCTTCTTACACATCCTTCTTCATAATCTTTAACAAAGAAGTATCCTAATCTAGTCACACTCTTTAATCAAACTATTTTTTCCAACAGTTTTTTTTCTCTTTCCTGTTTGGAATTGAAGGTGTAAACTATTGATAATGAAAGCTGTAGCAAAAAATTATTAAAGAATGACAAAAATGGAATAGGAAATAATTGGAATATTCTAAATCAAATTGTGTTCTAATTCAGAAAATAAATTTTCTTCTTTGTCAGTGCAACAGCCCCTTGCTTGGCTGCCTCAACATCTAACACGCCAGCGCCTCCTACCCATGGTAACAATTTCAAATCTTTAGGATTTTCAGGTCATTTTTGATGTCCTTGAGCCATCTAGTAGGGGGGTATTTTCAGGGCTTCTCCATATATTGCTCAGCCTATTACTGCAGGTTATTTGGGGCAGCTTATAGAGTCGGTAGAGCTCGAAGTTATAAATTATTATGTCTGAGTTAAAAAATAGGGGTAAAATACAGTTATCACTTATGAATTTATTACTGAAAATAAAAAAATTTCATACTAATTTCCAAATATTTTTTAAAACTTGAAAATTAAAATTCTTAAGGAGGAAAATTTTTTTAAAGCAGCTCTTAGCAGTTAACAGTGCTCTGCGAAAAACTGGGTGACGCATCAAATATAACAATTGTAGTAATTTGATTATTTATGACTTAAATTCTTTTATAACTTCGAAATAGACTAAAAAGATTACATATTTTCTAATCTAAAAAATTCGGTAAAAGAACATTCAGCAAATGTATAACTTGCTTGATTGGCAGGTAAAACTTGGGAACCATTTTTTTAATTACTTTGCTTACAGTTAAAAAAGAAATAGAATACATAAAAAAACACAACTTTGCTGTTATTGATTTATTTATTTTGCTAAGTTACAGAATCTTCTCATAAATAGGAACGACTAATAAATGAATGAAATGGGCCTTCAGATCTAACAAATATTCTAAGCAAACTTCAACACAGAATAGTTTTATAAGGATAACAATTTGTGCAATGATTTTTAAACATCTAACAAAACAGGTTTCTTCAACCTTGCACATTTCCAAACTGAATCCATCAGCTTAACAAAACCCGTATCTTTTGGTTTCTCTAAGCCACGATGTAACCTTTCTTTCATTACTGCTACAAATTCACGATTGCTCAATTGTCCGTCAACTGCAAAATAGAAAGGTTATCAGATTTGACATACTTAATTACTCGGCAAATAGAGCATAGTTTTGTAAATGTATATGTCATGTACATGCATTTTGCTGGTTAGTTAGAAAAGTAAGTATTTTCTAAATGTGCAGTACTTTTTAGAGGAATTAAAGAAATTTAGAAGCTTCAATTACAAATATTTATTTATTTTCTAGCATTTCTTAAATTAAATATTCATTGTTAGAAAAGATTGAATGAGGCGTAAAAAATTGATTGTTGATAGAAAAACTTGTAAAAGATAATTTTGAACAATAAATTGCCTTCATATAAATAGAAATTTGATATTTCTTAATTTTCTGTATTATATATTTTATTGGCCACAATAAAAAACAGAAATCAAATGGCGGGCTGCAATTTTGTCAAAATTTTATGTAGGACTCTTTTATGCTTGAAGGAACATTAAATATTACTGTCAGATTTTTACATAGTTGTACAAAACAAAAGTATTGAATTACAAATTAAAATAAGTTGATTTTTAAAAATATTTAATTGTTACTATTAATAATATTTAAAAATATATTAAATAAGTAATAAAAATTCGGGCTACAATAACTAATGTGCACCTATGTATTGAACAATTTATCTGCAACAGATATCTAATTGTTAAGATATAAAACTTTAAAAAGGTTAGTATTAAAACTTACATAGTAGCACACAAAATGTTCAATGAGAAAATTGAGGTTTGTTTGCTGCAACCACCAGAGAATAGATATTTACATTTAAAATTTACAAATGTGTGTGTAAATATTTTTGTCCTAAATGAGTGGTTTCAAAAAGTTAAATCGGAGAATTTTTTCGAGAAAATTGACTACTTTAAAAATTAATTTATTAAAAAAAAAAATTGACGTAGTTCTGACCACTGGAGAAAAAAGATACTTCACAGTTAGTTCAGAATAGTCAACCCTTATATTGTAAATGGCTGTAAAGATTTATTTTAATGAGCCAAAGCAAATCCAATCTGAGTTATTTTTCACATATTTCTTGATTAGTCTAAAGACATATTTTTCACATATTTCTTGATTAGTCTAAAGACATAAGGCCTGACTAATAAGCTTGAAATTATCAGAAAGATTAAAAAATATTGAAGACTTTTCAGACTAGCCTGGCACTTTTCAAAATGCTGGCGAGAATAGCGAAGAGGCAGATTTTTAAATAAGCCTACGATTTTTTGGCATTAAAAATCTAAAATTTATTTAAAACAAGATCGGGGGCTTGCTAAGATTATCTTATTTTATAAAGGTATGGAAGCACCACAATATTGATTTCTTAGAGAAGGTAACTCGTGAAAAATATTATGAAGCAGTAGAAGGAAGATATATGCCTTTAGTAACCAAACAGACTCAATATAACTGTGTTCATAGATGATGTAAGGATTTAAGTTATCTTTCCACTACCGTTAGGCATTAGCTATTTCCCATTTGTCGTGATATTTTCTTTCCCCTTAATCAGTTGAAACTCTAGAGGTGTATATCGTTGAGAAGGATACAGATGCCAACGCCATGGCTCAAGTATCAACTGCAGCAGGGAGTGGAAGCACATGCTTGAAAACTTACTTCAAACATGTGTCTAGGAATGATTTCTGTAAGCTTTTTACCTTAGATTTTTAGCCTGGTTGGTAGGGTGTTGGGCCCATGTCCAAGAGATTGTAAGTTCGATCCTCACCAGCTGAAGACTCCCCTTGCAGTCAATGGTGACTGGTGCACATTAAATCTGTCGGGCAACAAAGTCTTCCAAGTTCAGGTCAAAATTATGGGTCCGTCCTGTAAAACGTGTGTGTGTGGCTGAAATCATATTCTTGACCATTGTTTTTCATTTTACCAATGAAAAACAAGAAACGCACCCTCTGCTTTAAATTTGCTGGGTTTTACCAAGAAGAACTGCTAGTATTGGCAAGTAGCATTAGAAACAACAACAAAACAAGATCTAGAGTATAATTAACTTCTAGAGTGATAAATATTTCTAACATGGTAACGAATCGAATTTGGTTGGAGATTTTCTCATTTCTTTTATAGGCTGCATAAAAAATTCATATTTTATTTAGACTGAAACATAAAGTTCTTCTAGAAGAGGTAATACAGTTTTAATATTAAAATTTGTTAACAAATAAATTGATTTAAAACTAAAGATTTAATGCTAAAATATATCTTTTATACAATAAGATTACTTACGATTTTCATCAAATAGTGTAAAAACAACATCAATAACATGATCGCTCAAGTCTAAATGCGCCACAGTTTTGGCAACATGTTTCAGGGTTGCTGTTAAGGGAGAAAAAAAGATTTAAACATTAAAATTACAGAGAACAAACTAGGTTAACATGGTTGCATAAGTGGCGCTTGATGGCGGCAGACACTGCAGATTATCATGGCATCTGCAGATTATTATTATTTTTTAAAATGGATAGAAAATTGCTGAGAGAAAGTATGAGAAAAGTAAAGAACAAACAATAAATTATTAAATGGCAATAAATTTCTTTTAAATTCATTTGAATACACAGAAATAAAACCATAAAAGTGACTTAAATAATTTTTCCCTATTTTTCTTTTTTATTCTTTTGAACAAAAAATTTTAATTTAATAAAAACATTTGTAAGTTTCAGAACAATTTTTTTTTTGCAAAGTAATTCATGTTTTTAATAATCTGAATTTTTAAAATGAAGAACATTTTCTTATTAAAAAAAAAAAAAAAAAAAAAAAAAAAAAAAAAACTAGATTTTTCCCCCCCCTATAAGTGGTAGATAGTCCAGAATTTACTAAATAAAGTAAAAAGAAGAAAAATAGAATTTTGATTAATTTGATAAAGTTTTATACATTTATAAAATTTTTACCAATTGAACGAATTTCACTGCATATGGATTTAATCCATGCTACCAATTTTAATTTAATACAAATTAAAGATAATTTTACAAGCACATCATTTTTTTAGTCTCATTTTTCACTACGATATTTTGCTGCACCTGTTTAGCTCAAATGACACAACACATTGTTTTTCAAAAATTCATAAAATTAAAACCATGCTTTCTTTAACTAAAGAAATTACACAATAGGGTCTACGCTTATTTATTAAAAACAGCTTGTAGGTTAGGGCAAGTATTTTTTATGGTAATAATGCATTTTCACAAAGTTTCCAAAGAACTTTTTCAGACTTTCAGGCCTACCTAATCTTAAATTTAGGATTCAATGACCTCATATTGATGAGCCACTACTGCTCATATTATGAGCCTTGGTGGCTCACCTCATTGGAGCGCTCGCCTCCCAATGAGGTGACCGGGTTCGACACCCAGCCATGGCTGGTCGATGCGAATTCTGGCTTCATTAAAAAGTTCCTCCACAAAAGCAAAATTTCTCATAATACTTGATCCTAAAGTTCCCTAGATTAGATTCAAAATTATTAGGTTACGGAGTTGAACATTGGAAGCCATAAACTCAAATTTTGCAGGTTGTTTAATGACGGTTATGAAATAAAATATTGTTTACCTATGTTTACTTTACACAATCACAATTTATTAAGTTTCAAAAAATATAATAACAGATAAATTCATGAGTTCAATGCTAGATCAATTACTACAAAATACAATATGTAAAAAAGCGATAATTAAAATGCAACTTGATGTACAGGAATAAAAAAAAATATTGGAATTTACAGACATCTATATTCATGATAAATATTAAAAAAAAAATGAAAATTCTTGAAACAAAAACCAAATGAATAAATATGTAAATGATGTTTAAAAAAAAGCGCAATATTTCAATACAAACAATTTATTATTAAAAATATCTGGCTTATTTATGCATTTTTATTACACTATATTATCATTGAAAACATCTGTATTAAAAGTTAACATCTATATATATTTGTGATTTCTATTATTTTTATAAATATTTTTTGTCTTAGAAAAAAATTATATTTTTTAAAATTTTTTTTTACAATTAAAGCATTGCAAAAGAAAATGATAGAAACAAATGAAAATGTTTTAAATAAAAAACTAATAATCATATAGATCATTTTACAAAAATGCTACACATTCATATAATGTTGGAATCTTTAGCATTCCCGCCACTCAAAAACTACCCCCTACAATACTGGCATTCATAAAAATATTTACAATAACATACACATAATTGGTAATTTTCATTTTGACTTACTTTCAATTATTAATATAATAAATACTGAAGAAAAAAAAGCTAGTTTCAGTCAAATATTTCATTAACAATTAAATTAGTATGCATTTCTACAACAATGTGCATGATAGTTAAAAAGCATTCCTGCAACAGTCTTTGTGGGCCAGGGGGTCATAGGCTAAGGCTTCACGATTTTGGGACCAACAGCATAGTTGTGGCAATGTGGTTAGCACAATGTACAGGCTGCTTTCATTTCCAAACAAGCTGGTTACCATTTATCCGAAGCTGGGTGAGTTTCAAGCTGCCACTGGGGATCGGATCCCACATTATGACAGTTCAGTGTCCTAACTACTGAGCCATCACAGTGTGAGTCGCACACCAAAGTCTTGGATAGTGGCGCCATTTTGGCGATGAAAGAGGAGTTCTATCCTAGAACTGGAACTGAAAATAATGCCTTGATCCTTTCTCTCTCGGGATTTGTTTAGATTATTTGCCTTTTCGTCTTACTATATTTGTTTTTGTTCTTGAGGAAATAGGTAAATAAAATAAAAGCATAATATTTATTTCCAAATTATAGTAACTCATTCCTATAGTAACTAATTCTCAACACATTACAGTGGCTTTCTTAACCCCTTCCTTCTCACTCTCGGGAAAATGACGGGGTGAGGTTTCGCCCACTATTTCTCGCTCCCGTGATATTTCTGGGCTGGAGTGTTCAGTAGTAACCCACCAATAAGAATAAAACTAATTCATTTCTTTTGACGGGAAAACATTTTATTTTTCATTTTACATACCAGATGGCAGTACCAGGATATTTTTAAGGTAATTGTAGATAGTTTATTTTAAACTAGATGTCAGCACTAATCAAATACATGTATAATATACGTGTATAAAAAAATAGGCACTTTTATGGCTGATTTCTTGAAAATTAACCGATCGTTAAGGGGTTAAGTAAGTTTCAAGGGAAAAAAATATATATTTTAAAAAAAAAAAATGCTTATTCTAAATGTCAAAAAATAATATATTTTTAATAATATATCTTGCCCTCTGCATAAGGAGGGTTTGGGTATGCCCTTGAAGAAATGTTTTTAATAATATTCAAAAAGGTAAACATGGTTATTTACCTGGATCAATAGATGCTCCAGCAATATGATAAAAAGTTAATGCAGTATCAACATCATTAATATCATTCAAAAAGTGAAAGAAAAGTAAGTAATCATCAAGGCTTATACCCTAGGGAAAAACAAACAAACATTAGATTTAATTTGAATATTGTTTTCAGAGTGTCCGGAAAGTATGGAAACAGTCATAAATACCAAGAAATAAGAATAGGATCAAAAATTATAAATACACACATAAAATATTTATAAAAGATGCATTATGATTAGGGCTGCAGGTCTGTCGCGTCGCGATGATTTCCGCGAAATTGTCATCTTTTTCCTAAAATCCGCAAATTTCTCAATATGTTTTGACTTGTGCGAAAATTGCTTAAAATTTGATTTTCTTTTCATTTTTTATTTATTATTTTTATTAAACAAATTTTTTTTTATTTTCCTGAACCTTAAATTGAACATGTAAAATTGATTAGATATTTAAGGGAGTGAGTCAATAGTGAAATGACATGGAAATAGTTCAGAGATAAGAGATAATCACAATCTTGTCAAGTAAGGTGGTCTTTCCACACTTAGGGAGGGTAATTACCTTCCTGAAGTCAGTATGAATACAAAAGAAATTGGAATCACAAAAGAAGGAAAATGTTACAAATCAAATCTTTGACAGAAAAATTGTTATACATGCCATTGCACTTTTCCTAGGCGGCTTCTTGTGATTTCTTAAATATGGATCAGTTTCTTAGATGAAGGGGGGGGGGCTAGTAGTTAGTAGGGACTAGTAGGGTTAGTAGTAGTTTGAATGTAGAATGTTTGAGTTTTCACAGCAATTGCTTCTTACAAAGCAACGGTCAAGGAATTGCGCGTTGGTGAAGGAAAATTGATCGAGTTTTGGAAATCAAAGACCAAACGCTCCAAAATTGGCAATTCGAAGTTTGTTGGTGCCTAAAAACAGTGTTGACGCAGAAAGATCGTTTTCTAAGTATAAAAATGTATTAAGTGATGAAAGACGAAGCATAAATGAGAATAATCTGACAGTGTACAATACTTTGTACCAAAATTCTGTTCATTTAAATAAAAATATTAACATTGTTTGAAATTCAAAGAAATACTTTTGTTGTGTATTTTTAAGCTTTTTTTAGTGTTTGTGCAATTTCTGTCTTTTGCATCATTTATATAAATTTTTTTTTAATTTTTAGAATTTGTGTAATTTTCATAATTTCCCGCGACAAACTTGCAGCCCTAATTATGATATAAAACTTGACACCTCAACAGCATCAAAATTTTAAATAGAAATTTATTTTTAATGCAGATTTAGATAAAATTTATATAAATTTTTTACTTATTTTTTAGAATTTGTGTAATTTTCATAATTTCCTGCGACAAACTTGCAGACCTAATTATGATATAAAACTTGACACCTCAACAGCATCAAAATTTTAAATAGAAATTTATTTTTAATGCAGATTTAGGTTCTCCAGAAAAAAGTACTGTCAAGTTTTTACAACATGATAGATTATTGTGAAAACTTGACCTATAACCTATTATAGATTGCTTTGTAACTGTAAAATGAAATTGGGTTACAAATTGTTAAAAATTGATTTATCTTGAAAAATACATTTAAGATAAAATAAATAATGTTTAATATTTTGAAAAAAATCTCTTTTGACGACGCCAAACTTGACTCAAACCTACAACCAGGGACACTCAAAGGGCAGGGCCGAATTTGTGAGAGAACGAGACAGATTTTTTACTCAATGCATATTTTTTGAGATGTTTGACTATTTCTATAAATTGTGAACACCATGTACATTGGATTAAAAAAAAACTATTACAGTGAAACCTGCCAAGTTGACCACCCTTGTAAGTTGGGCACCTGCATAAGTTGACCTCAATTATCAAGAACGGAATTTTTCCTATATAATATAAAGAAGCAAAACCTTTGTAACTTGACCACCTGTCTATCTTGTATGTTGACCACTGAAATAAGTCAATTTTATCTAGGAGTATTATGAAATTCTATTCTAAAACCCTCATAAGTTGACCAGAAAAAAAAAATTCAGAAAATTTTCTGTCATTTTTGCAATGTATGTTAAAATTTCACTTGTTTGGTGAAATAGTGTAAAAAGCTAATCTAAACCCTTTTGTGAGTTGACCATCAGGGGAAACTGTAAGGGGTCAGCTTTTGACCATTTCTTTCATCCGTTCATTGAAAACAGGTGTGTTAGTTGAAAAGTTGCTCTTCCAGTTGCAATAGTGAGCATTTGAATAAATGAATGCTCTGAAATATGCTTTGATCCTTTATTTATGGTCTTTGATCTTTAAGTGTAGTAAATAAATTTTAAAGTGTTCAAATAATTTTATTTTGTTAAAGTTTTCAAATTACATGTTTTCGTGTTCTGATATTTTAAGAAATTATATTTATTAAACACTTTATAGGCATAACTAACGAAATAATTTTTTTAAAAAAAATTAATTAAACATTAGAATTATACAATGTATCAAATTGAAGTTCATTCAGGTTTAAACACATTTCTTAAGACATTCATTTGCATATTTTCAGAATAAAATTTTTAAGTCAAGTAAAAAAAAAAAAAATTAAATAGCAACATGATATAGGAAACGGAAAAGTAAACAATGACCCACACCCTCTATAAGTTGACCACTTGTCTAAGTTGAGCACTAAAACAATGCACCACAAGTGGTCAACTTACACAAGTTTTACTGTATTGTAACTTACTCTGGAATTTTTGAAAATCTTCTTGACACGTTTTAACATCTTGATATGCTTTTTTTCTGATAATCCAGCATATGTTAAAAGCAAATCTGCAAAATCAACTTCTCGAATAAATCCTTCTGCATTTGGATTTTTTCTTTGAAACTATTAAAGAAAGAAAAGAGGTTTAGTTTTAAGTAAACACTTTGTAATTGCACTGAAATTTGCATTTAGTGAACATTTATTCAGCAATTTCTTATAAGTTAAGAAAGATCCCAATTTTTCTCAAAGTATCAGGTACAAACGATTTAGAAGTAAAAACTCTCATTTAAATAAAATTATTTTTTATGTTTTCTAAGTATATCTATGAAGAAATTTTTTAAAGTGAGAAACGATTTAACAGATAACTGATAAAAGTTTCTTTCAATTATAGAAGTAAAATTAATCTGCAATAAAAAAAAACAAAAAACAAAAAAAAAACAAGCTGCTTTTTATTTAAAACAAAAAGAGTTCACAATTGCTTAAGAGAAAAATAAATATCCTAAAAATAAAGGAATAAAAATATTCAACACTTTTGTCTTTCATAAATTTATATATTTATAAATAAATAAACCTGCCAACATGAATTCAAACTAAGAGTCAGCAATAATAGAGCCTCATTACAGTGTAAAATTTTAAAAACATGTCATTTTGCATATATTTTTTCTAACAAGAAAGTTCAAAAAACGAAAATTAATAATGAACCATTAAAAACCATTTATAATGGAACCTCACTACATTGAGAAAATTTATAAACATGTCATTACATATATTTTTTCAAACAAATAGGTCAAAAAATTAATTTTATATTATTTTGTGAAAACAAAGAAAATGTATCTTCTTGTGCCAAAAGATCTTTGCATAATTTTCTTTTAAGTAGTTACAAAAATTTTAGATATATTTCTTTTAGTTTGTAATCTCACACATTTTAAGACAAAATGTTAAGAGCTGTAGTAAAAAGGTTAAGTAAAGTGAATAGAGAAAAAAAAATTATATTCCCTTCACTGCATTTCAACACAAGAATTATTTAATAAGGTTAAAAAAATCCACGAATAATTTTACAAAGATCTTGTAATTTCAAGTATTGAAAAATCTCACATCTTTGAAAAAAAAAGAAGAAATCAAGTTATCTGAAACCATATTTTACAATTAGACTCACCTCTAAAGTCAAGATTTCAGTTTGTAATTGTTTCTGGAATTCTAAAAACTTTTCGATAGTAAGCTTTCGATCCAAGTTAGGACCAAAGAAATATGTAGATAAGGCACTACCAAAGAATTTATAACAGTTTCCAGTATTTGAATGATCTCGGTGACGCATTCCCACACTGGTCTGGCTCCGGATTATGGTCTGGACCTACGATTAAAGATATATTACGTATATCAATAATATAACTGATTAACTACTTGGGCAGGGTTTTACAAAAATCTCTACTAAGAGTAGTTTATCTATTGAACAGCATGGCGGAAAATTAAAGTGTAGTAATTTTTTTTGAAACAAGAAATTTTTTATCAGTTTTCTTAAACACTTGAATTAGCTAATGACAAAGTATTATAGTGATTATTGAGAATTATTTTAAATGGCTGAATGCTTGCAAAGCCAAAGATGCTTTTTCATACTCTGTTTTTCCAGCAAAAAAAAAATAGTCTCTCTTTGATATTCAATGAGAAATTTGTATATTAAGGAGAAATTTTCTATAAACTTCCTTAAATAGGAAACACTTAGTCGGTTGATATAGTAACAAAGAAGAAATCTAAAAATAGTAGATTGCCATGAAGTAATTCAAATCAAACATTTAGCATTAAAATAAGATTACCCTTAGTGACATTTTCTGCCAAAGAACTGTATGGATTAAAATTATTTAAAAATCAACAGCAATTTAAGCATAAGGTTATAATTTTTCAAAAATTAGAAATAAAAAGGGCTGTATTTTAAATTACCATCTTCATAAAACCATTTGGTTTTTAAATTGGAAAATCTCAATGTTTTAAGCCAAAACTTTTAATAAGGACCAATGAAATAGTACAAAAGAATTTAAAGCGTGAGGGGGTTCATGATTTTATTTGTTCTAAACAAGAATGGAGGAGGGGTATGGGCAACTTTTACATAAGACGCTTAAATCCTTTTTAATATTTTTAAATACAAAAAAAAGGTACAAGTTTCAAAATTGAAATGTAAGTTAAATTTGCGCAAAAACAGTTAAAGCAAAAAACAAGAGAAAGGGATGTTGCAACGTAATGTGATGTAAGCATAGCAAGTTTGTAATTTGCTTATTTTTAGTCACACGGAGAGGGGAGCCCATAAGTGCCAAAAATATGCTTAAATATTTGAATGACTTCTTAGTTGAATTACATCATGAAAAAAAGTGTAGAAATAAAATACACTGACACAAGTTTCAATACAAATAATGTCATTTCTTTAATTCTGAAATTTAGATAAGGTTTATATTAAAGAAAGAGTGTGGCAACAATAAACAAATAATTATTTTTATAAATTTTTTTAATTTATTTATTTATTCATTACTTTTTCTACAGAAATTCAATTTATCATTCTTCAACAATAAACCTTTCTTTTTCCAAGAATTGTGAGACATTTTAAACACACCATATATGATGTTAGACTGAATAAGATTAATTTTTATTATCATAATTGCACTGAATAAACATATAAAATACAGATTTTAATGTTTAAATACTACCAAATATTTAAACGTTATAAAAACGCAAAATTTATCTTGAAATGAACAATGTAAAAAAATTCTATTTAAATTAAGATAAAGTATCATACAAATTATTAAGCAATGATAAAATAACACACAAACTATAAAGCAATAATAAAGTATTGCAAAAATATAATATAAAAGGGGCACACAAAATATCATGATATAAAGTATCACACATAAAAACTTTTATAATGTGAATGAACATTACTCACTTTGTCAAACTCTTCATGGTCAACATTTCCATCGCCATTGAGGTCAAACATTCGAAAAGCTATTTCAAAATGTCTCTTAGACGCTGAAAAATTCAAAGCAAAATTTTGATTGCAATTATTATCAAATTAATTTTAAAAATATGTGGTCTTAACTCTGTGAATATTATTTAAAATATAAGTACTCTGTTTAAAAAAAAAAGAAAGAAAACCCAGACTAAAAAAGAAACTGTTTAATTTTAATGATAATGAATTTTCGATGAATAAAAATTTCATTCTGCTATTATAGATTTATAAAAAAGAAGTATAAGGAAAGCTAGTTTGGGATGATGAATATTGCATGCTTCATAATAACTATTTATAAGAATCCAAATAGCAGGGATAGCCTGATTGGCAGGGTGCTGGACTCCCGTTCGTTAGAACGGGAGTTCTAATCCAGTCGGCCAAAAACTCCCAGTGTAGTAAATTGTGACTGGTGCATTATAAATCTGTCGGGTCACAAGGTCCTACATGTTCACAAAACAAATCAATATCTCTGGGGGTACTGAATTGGGAATTGATAGTTCTCTGTTTCAGGTCAAAATTACAATTTGTGGATGAATGACTGGGTTCGCCCTATTAACAGGTGTGATGTATGGGTGTGGAAGAAATAAAATTCTTGGCCATAGATGGCGCCACAGGAAAACAATAACAACATATAGAATACAAGTTCTTTTTTTTTTATTTTGAATCTCCGAGATTTAAAAAAAAGGGCTTCTAACGAAAATATTGCACAAATAAGTGCTGAAAAACTTTGATTTTTAGGTCCAATAAGTTTGGATGTTATTGTTGCAGTAGAATGGTACTAATGGACTATTTGTAAAGTAGAATTTAATCTCAATAATAATCCGAAGATAGTATTGGACAAAGTGGTAAAATTTATATCTAGTTAAGTTGCATATTAATTACAAGCTTTTAAGTATTAGTTTTTTAAGTAAGCTTTCAAGTATTAAGTTCCTAGTTAGGTGTAAAAATTAATTTTTCATCTATTTACTGAAGTAAAGTTTATATATATTTTAATATAAATGAATAACAAAAGTATACTTTTTTTTAAAATTTAAATTAATAATAAATTTTATATTGTTATTTATATTAATTAAAAATGAACTTGAGTATATTTACTTTTGTTTTACTTTGTTACAAATTAAAATAGTCACAGAGTTATAGTTGAGGGTTTTATTAGGTGGGAACAACCACAAACACTAGAAAAAAATTTCTAACTTTTCCCTCTCATTCAAGCTCAAAAAAAATTTTTTTTTAAACAAATTATTATAAGAATAAACTAACCAAACAAATAAATTACATGAAAGGATTTAGGCAGATTAGCATCAAGATAAAATGAGGGACACACAGACATTTTTTTCTGCATTTATTTATGACATATTTATGACATATACATTAAGGGTAATTCTAAAATTAACTGTACTACAGTTTTCTTAATATTAATAACAAATATTTTTGAAATTGATACATAATTTTATTCAATTAGTCGCATTATATGAGACCAACGTTGAGGCTATGTTTGAGGTTCTCTATTGATATAAATTGAACAAAAATTCAGCATCAGAAAATATCTTTCAGAATTTAACCCAATTTTTACGAAAAAAAATATATTAGACATTTAGGTATTTCAAAGCAAGATTAAGACCATTTCTCTGACTTTTGAGTATTTGAATAAAATACCTTTATCTTTCTTTAATTTTTTTCCCAGACAGATGGAATTTTCTTACTTTCTACCTATTACACGACCATCAGGAATCTTATAAAAATAGTTGTTACTTTATCAACTCCTTCCTCATATGTTATTAAAAAATAAAACTTAGTTCAAATTAAAATAATTTCTAACAAAGCTGTGCAAATTAAAAATGTCTGAAACAAATACAAAAAATAAATAAAAAAGATAGAAAATCATGCTAGTTAGATACAGAATGTGATGTAAATAAATGAAAGTTTGAAAGTGAAACAAGCATAATATTTATCTTATCAATATCTAATCAATAAACATAGAACCTCGCAAACTTTCAAAGCTCATAGTGTTGTCTTTCATGAAATAATATTTTGATAAAAAATATGCATATTAAAAGGCAATTTATTTATTTTTACTCGCCTTTGCTGATAAGATTTGATTAGGGAAGATCATGCATTTAAAAATAGTAGTTTCACATTAGATGTTTGCATGATTCGAAATCTTTGTAGTTCTTCATTAGTTTGAAAATCATTGTGGTCTATAACTCTTCATTGATTCTTTAAGTTCTGATCTAAAACTGTTCTTTGAATTAAGGATGATGAGAGTTAATGAAAGTAAAAGAGACAGAAATTATTTTAGTTTGAGGATAATTGTAATGTGGTTCCTATTGCTTTCAGATGAAAAAACTGATGCATTAAAAATACCTGTCACAGGAATTTTAAATTATAATGCAGATAGAATAGGCACACTTCTGCGTGAAAAAAGATCCCTTAAGAGGATAGGGTGTGATGCATTAAAGGCTTCATCACTAACAGCAGGATTAACAGCTGATATTGCTAATGTCTATACAAGTGCTCTCAGCTCGGGTGGTTTTTTTGGTAGTATTCCTGCTGGTGCTTCTGCATTGACTTCTAAGATTGCTTACACTGTAAAATATGCTGCAGATATTGAATATGCGGATCTACGTTGTGACGAAATCCCATTTGATGAAATAAAGGAAATATTAGGGGCAAGATTTCACAAGGTAGATGATGGTTTAAGTAGGAATTATGGTGCTATTCAAGAGAACTTAAATGCAATACATGGAAATTATAAAGCAATTCGACGAGTTGAAGATAAAGTTGAAAAAAATTTTGTAGCTATACAATCTGGATTTGCAACAGTATCCAGTCAACTTGGTAAAGCAAGAGATGAAATAAAAGAAGGTTTTGAAAAGATTCAATCCTTTATAAGGAAATCCAAAGCAAAAGAGGCTACTTCGGGACTAATCACATACATAGAATATTTCCATCTTGAAAAAAATGCTCTGAAATATCTCTCTCATGAGCAACTTATTACTCATCTTGAAGCAGAAGATAGCATCTTGAATGATTTCAAAAAATCTAGAACTCCTCATTCAGCTACTAATTTACACACACTTTTAAACAATATTGTTAATCAAGGACTGGCTATACCAGAAAGTGCGAATGACGAAACAGCATTTACAGTGCTTTATTTACTGTGTTTAGGAACAAATACTTATAATTCCATCTTATCTTTTTTACTGACTGGCTACAATTACCTTGCAAATGAAAGTTACCAAAAAAGCGACTTAGAGAAATATAACCAGTACTTGTCTGTTTCTTTAAGAACATTGAAAGGTTTTACAAATTCTTTGATTGGAGTTGATAACATGAATGGATTAATTGATAAGGTTATAATTGTACTCAATACAGTAAAAACCTTAGATTTTATCAAAACTAAAAAAAGTAACATTGTTGAATTTGTTTCAAAAAAAATAAATTACTTTAATCAGATAAAATCCTATCTTCTGGCAATAAATAATTTACCCAATACCAAACCAAGGGAACAAATAAGATATAACTTTACTGCTTCTACAATAAGAACCCCTTTTATCGGATGGAAAGATCACAGAAAAATCAGTTATGCTGTTCAATATATGAATGGGGGGATTTATTCTGAAGTTAGTGATTGGTCTATCCCTTATACAATATACGGACAAGCATGTCCAGCTCTTGATATAGGAACTGCTCCACGGGATACAACACGCATTATTTTTAGAAAATTTGATCATGAGAAGCCTGAATTGGTAGGCATTATTGAAAACAACCATCAAATTGAATTTCGAGATATTCATCGGGATCTTTACAATTCAGCTTTAGAGGCAAATGAAGAAATTGCAGCATTGGATATTGATGTATTGATCAAAAATGGGGCAAACGTTACTATTCCTTTTGAAGAAGGACGTCAAGCAGTACATGCGGCTGCACAAGCGGGTAATCTAGGGACACTGTTAACTTTAGTAAACAATGGTGCTGATATTAACGCACAAGACGGGAATGGTTTTTCTCCTCTTCATATTGCAGCTGAATTAGGATATGAAAATTTCATCACAGGGCTAATCAGACATGGAGCTGATGTCAGTGTAACTTCAAACTTAGATTGGACACCATTGCATGTAGCAGCAGAAATGGGTCATATTAGAGCAATCGAAAATTTATTACAAGCTGAAAACATTGATACTGAAGCAAAGACTGTAGGTGGCTTTTCTCCACTCCATTTGACTGTGACTTCCAATAAAAATAATGCCGTAGATATGCTGTGTGCTGATGAGAGAGTCAATGTAAATATCCAATCAGAAAAAGGTCTTGCTCCAATACATTTGGCTGTTTTAGGAGGATATGAACAAACAATTAATATATTACTTAGTAAGAAAAAGATGGACATTAATTTAGAATCACATGGGAATCTGACAGCACTTCATCTAGCATCTACTACAGGGAATGCGAGGATTGTTAAGCAGCTTCTCGGAGATAACAGGACAGATGTCAATGCTCATTCTGATGAGGGTTGGACGCCACTTCACTTAGCTGTTTTGCTTAATAAAGAAGGTGTTGTTTTTGAATTACTAGGTATAAACGAGACAAACATCAATGCAAAAGGAAAAGATGAATTAACAGCCTTACACCTAGCCGCTTCAGTGGGACTGAAATCTATCTTATACATTTTAGTGAATTCGGGAGTGGAATTGGAATCGTGTGATGTACGTGATTATACACCACTTCATCTTGCTGCTGAAAAAGGACATTTAGAGATCGTTAGTTTCCTCAGTAATCAAGGAGTTAACTTAAATAAGAGACAGGAAAGTGGTTACACACCCTTGGGTCTAGCAGCTTTTAATGATCAAATAGATGTAGTTGATTTTCTTGTAGCTCAAGGAGCCAGTATTAACATAAAAAATAAAGATGGTATGTCTCTTATAGATGAAGCAGCACATATGGGTCATTTTGAAATATTAGAATTTTTTATAGAAAAAGGCGGCAATTATAACGAGAGTGCGCTGTACTGGGCAGTTTACGGAGATCAGTTAGAAATAGTTAAATATTTAATAGAGATGAAAGAAATGAATCTAACAATGAAAGACACTAATGGGAAAACACTTTTCCACTTAGCTGTAGAGTTAGATCGGCAAAACACAGTTAAGTACTTCATTGATACTAAACAGGCTGATTTTACAACTGCGGACAATATGGGCATAATGCCTTTACATTCAGCAATAGAACATGGCTACGTAAAAATAATCAACTATTTAATTGAAGCAGAAGATGCGAATGTAGACATTAAGGATAGTTACCGTAACACTCCTCTACACTATGCATCGTCTAAGAATGATCTTATAGTTGTAGTAGAAAAACTACTTGATAAAGGTGCAAAAATTGAAGCTAGAAACAAGTATGGTGAAACACCTATGCACAGTGCTTCCAAAAAAGGCATTTTAGCTGTTGTAGAAAAACTGCTAGAGAAAGGTGCAGAAATTAATGCTCCGAATACTATATATATAACACCTTTGCACTGGGCTGCTGCAGGAGGCCATTTAGCAGTAGTAGAAAAGTTGATAGAGAAAGGCGCAGATATTAATGCTACAGAGATGGGGGGCTTAACAGCTCTTCACTCTGCTGCGTCATTTAATCATTTAGCTGTGGTAGAAAAGTTGATAGAGAAAGGTGCAGATTTTAAAGCTATGGATATACGTGGTGCAACGGTTCTGCACTGGGCTGCTACAGGAGGTGGTCTAGCGGTATTAGAAAAAATGATAGCGAGAGGTTTAGATATTGAAGCCAAGGATGGACGTGGCGCAACCCCCCTGCAATGGGCAGCTTCAGGAGGTCAGTTAGCTGTAGTAGAAAAGTTGATAGAGAAAGGTGCAGATATTGAAGTCAAGGAAGATGGGGGGTTAACAGCCCTGCACTTGGCTGCTTTATTTGATCATTTGACTGTAGTAGAAAAACTGCTAGAGAAAGGTGCGAACATTGAAGCTAGAAATGAAGAAGGTGAAACAGCTTTGCACAGTGTTTCCAAAAAAGGTCTTATAGCTGCTGTCGAAAAGCTAATAGATAAAGGTGCAGAAATTGATGCACTGAATATTGTAGATGCAACGCCTTTGCACTGGGCAGCTGCATTAGGTCATTTAGCTGTAGTAGAAAAGTTGATAGAGAAAGGTGCAGATATTCATGTTAAAGATACAGGAGGTGCAACACCTTTGCACTGGGCTGCTATGGGAGGTAGTTTAGCAGTATTAGAAAAGTTGATTGAGAATGGTGCCGATATTAATGCTAAGGATAATACAGGTGAAACACCTCTTTATAAGGCTGCTAGTTACTTACGCTTAGTAGTAGTTGAAAAGCTTGTAGAAAAAGGAGCGGATGTTAATGCTAAGGATAATACGGTTAGATCATGTCTGTACACAACTGAGACTGCCAAAAGTGGAGAATTAATTAATTGCCTCAGAAATATATTACTTACTTAAAATGAGACTAGCAATTGATTCATATATTGGATCTGAAGTTTTACCACTAAGATGACTTAGTCTATGTCTACACTTAATAAAATAAAATAAAACTTTTTTTTGCTATGCAAATTGTTTAAGATATTTTTTTTACAGCACAGACATAGAAGGCTAAATCGTGTTAGCTGTATTTAGCCTTATAGAAATTCGTACAGAGAACTGTAATTATACACATAAATTTTTACACTGGCATATTAATGTTTCCTAACAAGCAGGAAATTAAAATGGTTAAACTGAGATAAATAGAACTGTCATAAATAATGATTTACTAAGCGGAACTATGCTTTCTGATTTTATTGCTAGACCAAATAGGAAGGAGAAAATATAAACCCATTGTTGGCATATTTCCCGAGGAAAATAGCTCACAATTTACCTTAAGAGATTACTTAATAAATTTGAAGATATTAGATCAAAAATTGATTACTAAAGCATATTAATAAATAAAAAAAGCACAATTATAAATGCTACAGTGAAACCTGTTATGTTGAACTCAATGCTGAAGTTGGATAAAAATATTTGAAGGAACTCATATCTTTATAGGGTATATGTCATAGTTGACTGATTTTTTATTCTAATGTGTGAGTATCAAATTTTAACAAAAAATTTCAATAACTTAAGTTACATAACTAGTAATTATTTTATTTTATTACTAAAAAGTTACAATTTTAACATTTAAATTTTAAACAAAAAAAATTTAAAAAATTATGCTTTAATTATTATTTAAATTAATAAAAAATTAAATAAAATAGTTATTCATAGCAATAATTACTAATATTCATCACAAAGAGTATGTTCCTGCTTAATCAAAATGCCAAACATAAACTGAAACAGCCAAAACTGTATGAAAGATAAATCTAGTAATCAATTAAGCTTTTAGAGTAATTATAAAGTTTAACTTTTACACTTTTTTTTTCTAATAAGTATAAATATGTCTGCTGAAGGGATCAGCCAGTTTAAAAAATCAAATATTCTCAGAATGAATGTGACCTCCCTACTTTATTTCCATATTTACCTGATATTATCTTAATGATTTGTGTTATTATTTCATTTCTGAGTGATAAGTATATATTTTCAATATGTAATGCAAATATGAATTTGAAATTAGTTACATCATATTGTATTAAACAAAATAACATGAATGCACATAAAACAAAAATTCTTTATTTTTTTTTAATTATCATTTTTAATTTATAATCAAAAAGAATATTTTAATAGTATACAATTTAAGAACTTAGATATATTTGTTTTCCAAAGATATAAAAATAATGCTATTCCTATAACAGCCTTACTTAAATATGTTTGCATGCAGCAATTACAAAGATGAAACTTCCGATACCTACTTCTCCAAATAATAACTGCATTACAAATATATTAAAACTGAAAATACACTGAGAAAAAAAAAAAAGAAGCAAAATTCTACCTGACAAAATTGTAAGAAGAAACATATATTCTGAAAATCCAATCAGTCCAGAAGCACCCAATTTGTAAAAAATGCTTTCTTTGTTGGGAGTCAAAACAGTCTTGTTTGCATCCTGACAAGAATATATTCTTAATATTAAAATATCAGTAAAGTAAAGAAATTAGAAACTATTAACTAAACTTAGAACTAATTTCAATTTATACTTTAAAATTTTCTATTTAATTCTATTTTATAAATTAATTTTATATACTTAATTTCATATGTTAATTAAATAAAATTTGATTTGATTTGATTAACATGTATTCTGAAAATCCAATCAGGCCAGAAGCACCCAATTTGTAAAAAATGCTTTCTTTGTTGGGAGTCAAAACAGTCTTGTTTGCATCCAGACAAGAATATATTCTTAATATTAAAATATCAGTAAAGTTAAGAAATTAGAAACTATTAACTAAACTTAGAACTAATTTAAATTTACACTAGAAAAATTTTATTTAACTAAAACAGGACATGCTGTATTTTTAAAATATAACTCAACTCATTTTATTTAGCTTTAAATTAGTGGATTTTGCATTCAATAAGTGTATAAAATGACCCCTGAATTCATACTTATTGAAAAACAAATTTTTAACCAATTATAAAACTCAGTTATTCAAATTAATCTGCTGTTTTACTACCACCTTTTATTAGAAAATAATTTGCACTTTACAATAACATTCCAAAAGTAGTGCTTAAAGTTAAAGAAGATATCTTTCAGATTTCTTAAATCAAAAAAACCATCTCGAAAGATTTTCAGTGTAGTGGGAAAGATTTTATTTTTGTTATAAAAAGTTTCAATTTTGTGATAATAGCGTAAATTTCCACATTTGTATTTATCTATATTTCAAATTTTTTTTTAAAGATAAGCGTCATTTGTTTCTCAAAAAAAATTGTGCCCAAAAGAATTATTATTGTCGAACTTGACTCCCAAACTTTCATTGTATTTAGGAGTTCGAAAAGTCACATTATACACTAAAAAATACTATATTTGAAGCATAGAAATTGGATTAATAATTTTAGAATAGTCAAATTAATAAAAATTTTTTTCACTTAAGCATTATGTTAACAGCTTGATAAAATTGAAGGTAAATGCAGTCTAAAATATTTTTATGATTCAATAAAAGTAAATTTTTAAAATTTATAACAAAATTGTTTAGATTGATAATTCAGTTTAAAAATTAAATACCTTATTATAATAAAATAAAAATACTTAATTTTATTGCAGCCTTTACAATAAAAATTGATAAAAACCCTCATTTTTAGCTATTCAATGTTCAAAATTAAAATATCATAAATAAAATTACATGATAAAAATTACGATAAAAATGAGTACATTTTAGCATATTTCATAATCAATATATTCACTGTTATTGAAAAAATATCTTTGCTCAAGACTATGTATTCAATATTCAAAGATAAAACTGTTAGTAGAACTGTATGTTTGAAATAACAAATCTTTTGCAGCAAATCTCATAAATGAATAGGATACCTTATTTTAGTAATTACAACTAATCATTTAAAAATATAACATTATCTATTTCCAAACAACTTTAAAGAGCTTACAGGATTAGAAATGTCATCCTAATGAATAATTATTTTTGCTAACATTTCAATGAACATTGAGGTGATAGGTCAGCATTTACACATGATATAAGTGTATTTGTTAACCCTTTCGCGACGCAAAGCGCGAAAGCGCGCTTACCGCTGAGGCCGGCAGTCTCTCTAGCGTGTGTCTCCCCAGGGCCGGAGGGTTTTTCGATGTTAAGCCTAATTCCATGAAATTACCGAAATATCAGCGCGTTGTTTAATATTGTTCTGTAGAGTATTTAAGTGACATATGCTTTATATATATTTCTATGGATACTTTATTTACTTAAGTTATTTCTTGTTTAAATGTAATATAAATATTAATAAGTTTAAATATTTTGCATAATTTCCTCTATTTCCAGCTCAGTTAAAAATTTTCGACGCTTCGACATTCTAACGGTAAAAAGAAAAAAAATTCAAGCCTACAAGATCTAATTATCCACTAAAAACTAATCCGAAAGTCGAAAGTAGCGAGAGAAAAAAAAAAAACTCCCTTACTTACTGTAAATAAATGTCACGTGCTAATTTAAAGAGCCCTCATAAAATATTCCCCCCCCTCCACTCCTTCCCCTAAAATCCACGTGAATGTACTTTCATCTTGAGTAGAAGGTCAAATCTACATGTATCTGAAACCATATGGACATACAATGCCATCTTTTGGAAGAAATTTAATTTTTTAAAACATTCCGAAACGCTGGCACAAATAAGTGACGGTCGGGGGTGAACGAGAAAACTCTCTGACACGCGGGTGTGTCGGCCGGGAAGTGAGCGCGTTTCTTGCTGACACATATATGTGACAGTCGGCTCGAAAGGGTTAAGAAAATATCCTTCATTCATGTCTTTAATAGTTTTATATTAAGATAGTCATTAATAGAATTTATATGCATTTAATAATAAAATAATTAATGATAGGTCTATTATTATTTTATTATTGAATGCATAAAAAATAAGGTATAAGCTGTAACATTCAGATTATCAAACCTCCTCTAAATTCAATCCCCTTAAACATTCATAGTCTTTTAAAAGTCCCTGGAAAGCATACCTGCCAACATTGGAGAAATAAAATAACAGAGATTTTTCTAGTGGCATTTTTAGGCTATGAGTAAAGTTTCGATGCATCATGCATAATCATGTAAGTCAAAATTAGAAATTAAAAATAATATAAGCATTTACATTTAGGTATATAAATCAGATTTTTTTGTTAAAATAGGTATATAAATCTTAATCTAAAGAAGATTTTTTTGCTTATAATTTAAAAAAATAAGCAAAAAAAAAAAAAAAAAATAAANAAATTAAAAAAAAAAAAAAAAAAAAAAAAAAAAAAGGTCTAAATGAAAGACTTTTTAAATTTTATTTTTGCCATCAGAGGATATTTAATTGAAATTTTTTTTTTTAAAATTTCTTCAACAAACATGGAGAAATTTGAAAATATACAGGTAAACAGGAGATAGTCGTAAAATACAGGAGCCTTTGTTAAAAAACAGGAGACTTGGCAGGTATGAGATAGGGTGTGAACTGGACTTCTGAGGGAGTGAAAAAGACTTTACGATGAGTCATCTTTAAGATCAAGATTATCTCATTACATAATTTTCTGTCGACGACTAACTGTGAGATTGGTGATGCAATTCATTCAGGTTTACTACAAATGAAAATTTTGTATACATCACATGTATATAGCAATTTGTAATTTAAAACACAGAACAAATAATTGGCTTATGAGAGTATGTAGATAAGCTTTCTAACCAACACATCACAAAGCAAAAGTACAGGGTTTTATATGCATAAATAAGTTTCATGCACTAATAACAAATTACAATATTAATAAGACACTTAAACAAAACTACTTTTAGTAATTCTAATGTTTTACACTGAACATTTATATGAATACTCAATTAGGTTTTAATGTTCTTAATATAGATATTGTACATGCACAATGATTTGAGAGATTTTTCATAAAAAAATTTATAATAAATAAAATATCTAACCAGAGTGTCACAAAATAACTTGGACATATATATACTGTAATTTTAGCGCTTATTAAAATATCACAAACAAACTTTCAAAGAGACATCACGCAGATCTGTAAACAGACCAAAACACTTTTTGCTAGAGGCCTGACCTTAATTCAAATATTGATATTTTGTTCCATTCCTTGCATAAGATTTTTTTCAAGGATTCCAAACTCTTATGAGGTTCAGAACAAACTCTAATCTTCAAGACAGACCAAATTTATTTAATCCAAATCTGGGGAATGAGAACATATTGCCAACTTAAAAGTATACTGTAGCAAAAATCAGAATAGTATAGAACTTTTATTTAATACAAATAAAATAATTATTAAAAAAAATTCATTCATTGAATCAAAAATTCTTCTTAATACAAATAAATATGAATGATTTTGGTAATCTTATTTAAAAATTTGACATCAATCTTAAGTAAATACAATGGCTACTAGATTCTTTAAGAAAGTGAGGAAATGTGCCATTATTAAATGCCGTTATTAATGAGTGTGCTCGAGCAAAAGTCTGATGGAATATTTTTAAAGCCATTTTACGACCAGAGAAGCATCATTACATCTCCTAAAATGAGTTTGCAGTGGAAATATTTTGTTTTAAATTTTGTCCCAATTATTTTTTGTCACCCTCTATTTAGATTAATAAGATTTTTTGTAAAGAAAACTAATTTACAGTAAAAATCTTTAATTTGACATTCAAAGATAAAATGCAAAAGCAAGAAAACATGCTGACAGAATAAATAATAAACCTACAGCAGTTTGCACATCAATTTCTAACTTTCCAGGAACATGAAAAGCATCAGCCTGGAAAATGAAAAAGTCACGCAGAGGCACATTTATTACACATAAGCTAGTAAGCAGTACAGTATAAACAATACATAGAAAGAGAAATACAGAATGAGCAAAGAAGTTCATGTAATACATATTAATCAATAGTATTAAATATTAAAGTACTCATATGAACAACATTTAACACTTCATTTTTTGCCAGAGATTCATATTTTTAATCAAAATTTAAAGTAACACAAATGATAAATCAAAGAAATGTATATCAAATGTATTTTAAAATCTTAAAAATAAAGAAGAACACACAAGTCTAGTTTCCTTACCTTAATTTCAACTTTTTTGTATTGATCAAGACCCAGGCCTTTGTAGACATAAAAAAAAATAAATAATTAGAATAAATAAATAATTATTTTCCCATTCTTATAAAACACAGACATAAACAGAATTTTGGTACATATAGTACTATAAATTTTGTTAGATTTGAGACATTTTCATTAAAATTATTGTTTCAAGCAACATTTATTTTGATGAAAATGTTTCAAACAACCTTTTTACAAATAAATTTATTGCATTGTGAACAAATAAGTATTACAAAGTATCAGCTACCATACTTTATATATTGGGTATGGGTAATAAACAAATAATAATAATTTCTTAAGATATGAGCAACAATATATATGCATACAGATATTTTGCAAAGATATGGGGAAAAAGAAGACAACGGTCTATACACATTTGAAATCTTTACAAGGAAATTTAAGTACACTTACAAAATTTTTAAAGTACAGTTTAAAATAATTCCTATTAAGGAAATTAACCTCCTCTGCAGTTCATATTTAAAAATATTTTTATAAAAATTTTTTTTTTTTTAATATTGTATTATATTTTCTAAGATAGTTAGTATTTTTTTTTAACAATATCTCTCTTATAGTATACAAGATGTCTAAAATTTAATCAAAAAGTAATTCTTACAGAAAGTCCCTGATTCTAATGAAAAATTGTTAGTTTTTTATTTAAAGGATATACAATAGGATTTTAGATGGAACAGCATATTGGGTAAGTGGTCTTTATGGCTTTTGCAATATTTTCACTATCTTTTTTGCTTTGCAATGATGTTTATGAACTTCATTGATAGAACACTTAATTTGTTTTTTCAAGGACGTACTATCTTAAGCGTGCGGGCACAAAATTTAGGCTCCAAAAATCAGAATTATCAAAGAACGAAGACTAATAGGGTTTAATTACATGATCTCGACAGCCGATTCTAATCACTAAAACTTAGATGAACAGGAAATGACTCAACAAAACTCAAAATATTATCTAATAAAAAAATCCCATTGTTTTTTCAAGTCGTTCTTCATTTTTAATAATCATGAAGCAGCAGTAAGTAATCTCTTAATCAGTAGTCACTTTTCCTCTTAAGATTTTATTGCACAAATAGTGTATAATTCAAATTGTGCATTAATTTCGAGATATCTGTTCCTTTTTGTTTCTTTGTAGCTGGAATTTTCTTTATCTAAATGCAATACATTTGAAGAAAAAGAAAAGATAACTTAAAAGGTGAAAAGTATAACTAAAGAAGAAAAAATACAATATTTTTATTTTCAGCAAATATGTTCCTCAAAATCCAAGTAAAGAAAAGTTTAACTTTGTGCAACGTATGTATAAAGCAAAATGACATGAAAAGAGCGCAAGTAATGCCACATAAACTGACAATACTATAGTTTTGGTTCTATGAAGAAGCATCTCTGTGTTTTCCATTTTCATTCTGTGCTTTGACACTAAACAAGGATTTTTATTATTGAAACAAATTGCATTTCTGTTTGTTTTGCATTGGTTAGCTTTATTTAAAACCCTAAAGCGTTTGACTAAAAAAAAAAAAAATAGCAACAATAAATTTATAAGAAAAGCATTTTAATGTGCTCTAATACTACAATAATTTAAATTTTTTTGCGAATTTGACATTTATAGTTAGATTATTAGCGATTTTGTAAGGGATAATCTTTGTACAAGTTTCCTTTTTTTTGTGTGAATTTTGAACTTTTAAAAGTATAAGATATATTCCATCACTAGAATTAAAGTTAATACCTTCAGGTTGCTTAACACCAGGAGTTAAAGAGCGAAGAAAATCTTCAGGTGTCATAAATATTTCTGATTCACCTTGTTCAGTATATACTCGAAGGGTAGCAAAATATCGAAATATTTTATCAGGTGTAGAGTATGCACGAATACGATTTTCATATTCAATGATCTAGAAAAAAGTAAACCAATTAATAGCATAATTTAAAAATCATAAATTAAATTCATTTGGCCTTTTGAAATTAAATATTAATTTTAGAAATGATTTTTTGGAGCTTAATAAATGATCTTTAACCTAAATAATGTAGGAAATTGTAAAAATTAAAAAGAAAATTAAGTGAAAACATTTCCAATTAAAAATAAAACATACAACTTTTACAAAGTATTTTTTGTTTATCAAAAAGGTCATTTTACTATACCTAAAAAATAAATTATTTGAGTCCTTAAATTATTATAAAAAACGCATACAGTCAATTTTATAACTCACTTTTTGGATAACTCAAAGAAAATTTAAAGCCCCAATCCTAATGCATAGGCTTAAACTCAACTTTTAATAATTTGTCTAAAACTTAAAGTTTTATAAATTAATTTGTTAAAACTCAAAAGAAATTTTCCTTTCCAAAACAATCTTCTATCTAAATCAATATTTTCCTCAAATTACACTGATAATACCAAAACATTATCCAGTTAAGACTTTAGGAATAAAAAAAAATCTAATCATTCCTCCACAAACCAGTCTTAAATTTCCCTAATGTCAATGCGGTTTTTTTCTTTTTCCAAAAGTAAAATTTGAAATAATGTCTGAACTAGAAAGATAGAACATTTTTAAGAGTTTCTATAATAAAAAAATTATAGTCTGAAAAATAAATTTAAGGAGAACTACTAAATTAGGAGTGAACAACCTGCGGCCCAGCGACTGTTGATGCATGCCCGTGAAAACTTCTGAAAACAATAAATTTTTGTGAAAAAAAAAAAATTCTAAAACTTTTAACTGCACATTTGAATTACCTCTTTTTATTAGTTCAATTTGCACAGATTTTTTAAAACTGTTTACTCTTTGTAATGTATCTTGTTTTAATTTTTTTTAGCTGCTGAGACTTTTTTTTATGAAAACACAAAAGAAAAAAGGTTTCCTTTTTAAAATTCATAAAATCTCTAATTCAAGAAATAGAAATAATATCTGAAGCAAAAAACCAAATAAGTATCGAATCTTTCTTTGTGCTATAATGGTTTTGTTTAAACACTAAAAGTTGTCTTTAATAAAAATATTTAATTCACACGTATTACTCATTAAAATATGTATATTTTCTTCACACTTTCATTCTGAATGATGTGGAGACACAGCTGTTTATTAGAGTTATGAGCAATATTAATTTTAAATTTTTGTTGGTTTTTAAGATAAAATGTTTTCAAAATAAATTTATAAAAAAATCTGGAATATTAAAATTTATTATTATGAAGCTCAAATTTTAAACTTCTTTTACTGCTTCAAGTTACCTAAGTCTTACCAAATTTTAAAACCTGATAAGATTCTTTTGGCTATGCTGAACAGTAATATTCAAAAATAATTAATCATTAAAGGAAGGGCTCACCTTTCGATCTCTGAAGCCAGGCCTATCTTTCTTTTTCTTTTCCTCTTTTACTTCAATTTCACTCTCTTCTTCATTGTCTTCAGATTTTTTTGATTTCTTTTTGCTTTCAGTAAGGGCAGTAGCGGCATCTACCTTCCAAGATTTTGTAATCCTACCATACAGGTCCTTTGCGTAATCAAGCCTGAAAAGTAGATTCCCAAATATTTTTTATGTTTTGAAAGGAAACATTTAAAAAATCACATAAATAACATTATTAGAAAAAAAAACACTCTTCAGAGAAATGAATAATCAGTTATAGTACTAATTAACTTGATTGAGTACACATAAAAAAAGTACACATATCAACCCTTTATAGTAATGTTGTATTAAAATATTTTCGGGATTGAGACTGATTAATAAAAACAAATTCATTTAACTTATTACTTAAAATTAATTTGATTTTGAAGACTATTTTTTTAGGGAAAGGTAGGTTGGAATTTCAAAATTTTATCCACTATAAAGAATTGACTATAAACTTGAACTACTGCACTTATAAACAACTGAATTTATAAATTCTGTTTTGATAACTACAAATAAACTTGATTTAAAAAAAATGATGAAATCATAATGTACAAAAGAAAATAGATTCCCAGGATAGGTATCTCTTGACCAGCCTTCACAGCTACCCACATTCCCATAAGCAGAATATTTTCAAATGTTCTGCAACAGCACTTATTAACTTATACAAATGTTCTGCAAGTATTTCACAGTGAAAAAAAGTCAACTTTACGTTAAAATTCTATATTTTCATTTATTAAAATACACAGATGCACTACAATATTTTTTAAACCAAGGCAAACATTCTTGATTTGTTACTTTTTCAATCACTTTTGAAGTACAAAATTTTGTTAATGACAATGATGATGATGAATTATTAATAAAATGTCTATGATATAAAGATCCGAACAATAAACTAACCTTAAAAATCTTTTCTTTGGAGCCTTAAAAATCTTTCGAAGGGACAAGTGCCCAGATGGTGCACCATTTGCAAACACAAAACATTCGCTGGTCTGTTGTTCCAACAACTTCATTTCCATTGAAAGCACTTGGTCTTTTAGAAACAATTCTGTAAATCGTGGATCCCCACGATTCACAGATTGCTTCTGCGATGGGAATAGAAAATATAAAAGTCATAAAATTTATGAAATTGGAAATCTCAGAATTTAATTCTGTTACGGCTTGCTGCTTTAGAAGCTCTCTTGATAAAAATGGTGATCGATTTCTCCTGCTGTCTGCTAAAAACTGGTACACCCATTTTATAAAAATGTTAAAGCCAAAAGCTAATTCATTAATTTCCTCCTCAGAATGGCAAAGATATGGAAGAGGGAGATTACTGATAAAAGTGCTGAAATTCGTGCAGGGTGTCAAATGTTCCTCTTCTAAAGCAACATCATTCCTGGGAAACAGCCAGTCGTCAAGGCTAAAGAGAATTTAATTCAAGATACAAATTGTTCTGCAGGACTTCGTCTGTTCTGGGACGTACGCCACAGTTTTAGGCACTTTCTGCTTCTGGGCCCACATTCATGTAAACAAAGTATTTTACTGTTTTAGTTTTTTTTGTTGAAGTTATCAGCAGATGGCCTCACAAAATCATAAATGGTTAACTGGTAATCCATCAACATTTAAAAATCAACGAAGTTTATACTTACCTCGGCCTTATAAAGGGTTTAAAAAAACTACAACTTAGATTTGAAAAGAAATTATAAAAATCATATACATTTCTCAAATATTGATAATTAAGTGACACTTCAATATTTCTAAAACTCAGACAAAACACTTACATTAAAATAAAATAAAAATTTGAAGATATTTCTAAATTATATGAGCTTACCAAAGAAAATTTGCTGAAACAAACACCAAAGCAACTCCCATGAATATTTGATAAACAGCAGCACTAGCAGGTGTTCTTTTTGATCTACAATGTTGGAAATCTTTCACATTTCTTTTAGAGATGTATCCGTAGAGCAAAAAATTTTGACGTCTTTGTATTATATTATTATTGCTCAAACTCATAAGAGTTCTTTTAGGGATATATTCATGGAGAAGATGATGTTGGTGTCTTTCTATAAACCTATTACTGCTCAAAAATATAGATGGATAATAGTTTAACAGCTTTGATAGTCTCAACGGCAATTTTTCCACAATCATGATGCTAATAGATCTATTCTCTAAAAATGAATTTTTTTTATTAGTGAATATGAATAACGATTTAAATTATGATTAAAAATAATATTTTATATTTAACAAAAACTATTAATGAAATTATAATATTTTAAAATTGATAATTAAGATCAAAATAAACTCCAAATTTTATTTAAGAATAAAAAATTGGAAGCATATGGCAGCACAAACTTTCTATTTCAATTCATATACGAGTAGGAATTATGCCAGAATAGCAAAACTCGTCACTAAGCTATTAACAAATGTTATATATTAATGTAATATATTAACAATTAAGCTATAATCAAAAACACATAGTTGCTGAATTTGTCACCCATGCATATGATTTAAAATAATCAATAATAATGTATTTGATCATTCATATTATCATATTAATTCAGGGGCAGGACCTCAATCACTACTGATGTGAACTCTACAACCCTGTGGCAGAATTTTTTCGAGCTATCTGCGACAAAACTCTCAAGCACCAATATCCTTCTTCAAGATACTTTTAATAATAACTTACTAAATTAAAATAACAAAAGCGTTGTGTTTACAAAAAAAAAAAAAAAAAAACAAAAAAANAAAAAAAAAAAAAAAAAAAAAAAAAAAAACGATAATTTTTTTAAATGGAACAAGTAATAATTGCTTATTCTAATATTATGGGTGATATTCTCACATTTTGTTGGGGAGTGGGTGCAAATTATTTCCTTCATGTTTTGTTAATTGATCGAATAATTGCCGAAAAAAAGATCAACGACAAAATTGTGCGGATTGGACTTCTCAAATGCGTGTGTTTCGTTTAGAGATTCGGTTGTTGTAATAAAAAATATCCTTCAAGAAATATCGGATTTAAAAATGAGAAATCAATAGCAATAACTGCCAATATTTCAATAGAATTATTAGCTTAAAAAGTAAATACTCAAATGCACGATTCAAACTTTCCATATTGTTTGAAATATATCGGGATACTTAAAATTCATGTGAAAATCAATAACTGCCGAAAATACAATCGAAACATTACACCGATTTACGATACTATCGGCATAAATTGAGCTCGTCAAAAAGTGATTATCTAAATGTATGATTCAAACATTAAAAGTAAATTTCTGTAGAAAATAAACGTAATTTTTTGTTTGATTTTTCGAAAGAAAAATCTTGCTGCAAGAACTCTGCAACGTTCTACGACAATGTCGTCGTATCGCTCCGATTCTGCCACGGGGCTCTACACAATGATATATTTTATGTTTCTGGTCTAAATTCATACATTTTTATCTATTAACATTTTAGAATAATAGGACTTATTCAAAATGTTTATTAAAAACAACTTTTGCTTATTTTTTTCTCAAAACAATACAATATTTCATATGTGTTTAATATTATTTGAAAATTACAAAAGATAAAAAAAAGCAGTTTATAATATTTATAAGTTATTAATTTGTTAGTCGATAAAAACCAATTTATCTACTAAATAGTAAATCTTTAAAATGAAATTTTCATAAATACATTTATTTTTTACTGGTGTCTCTTCACAGGTTGAGAAAAATGGGGAGCAGTGAGTTCACGCAGAAGGAGAACAATAACTGCATAACTAGTTACTTTTTTTATTTTATAACCGTTGTTGAACAGCCGACAAAATTTTTGGGTTTATAACTACTTATGCTCAAGCACATAGCCTTGTAATTTTGAACCCAATCCAGAAGATAAGGGAACTCCTGTATCAAGTTGGGAAAAATTTGCCTGCGTGGAGTAACATGGCTCAGGGAGTGTTTGCTTCCCAACGAGGTGACTCAGGTTTGAATCTCAGCGGTGGATTTTTTATATGAATTCTGCTCTTGGCTCGCACCGACCATAATGCTGATAAAAAATTATACTTAGTGGGGGACGGAAAATGGATGAGATTCTACTGGCCATTAGGCTAATAAAGGGTGCTTTTTTTTCTGTGTAACAAAAATGCCGGTTAGTTTTATCAAAGTCTTCCACGAAGGCTAGTTTGTCCTAGTAGTTCCCTTGTCTTCAAGGCTGGTTCAAAATAACAAGGTTACAAAGTTGAACAATGATAATTCTAAACTTAGATTTGGGTTGGCCACTTAGTAATGTATAAAATATTATAAAATTTTCAAATGGATTTTTAACTTGAAAAAGTTTTTTTTTATTTCCAAAAAAAAAAAAAAAAAACATGTAAAGGTTTGCCCAAGGTGGCTACAAGTTAAACCCTGTGCTCTTATTGAAAGAAAATCCCCACGACTTGGTGAATACTTTAGCATAAATACCGAAAGATCATTGCCCCAAAATTTAAAATTACCGCGAGAAATTCGCGCTATCTATAAATCAATTTCAAAATTTGCGAATTTCTTGCATTTTTAATCGGACCCTTCACAAATTTGTTTATCTTCATTATTATTTTGTTAATCGAATAAACCCTTTCCAGGGCAGAAAACAAGAAAGATGGATGCTAACGAATTAAGTTTTGTCTTCGGCAGACGATTCTTCCATTATTCGTCCGAAATTAATATTCTGCATTCAGCAGTATAGGCTAAATACCAAATATTTGTATGTTGCATCTCTAATTTAGAAGGAGCAATTGTTGTTTAGTTTTTAAAATTTAATTTTTCTTAATTACAATTTTACAGTGTTGAGCATAATCTTGTATGTCTATACAATTTAAAAACTCCTTGAAAATTTTTTTTGTTGCTATAACGGACCCTATTTGCACAAATTCATAAAAGCGGACCCTGGTTGAAAGAATGTGAGTAATTTTTTCACAATTTCACGAAAAACGGACCTTTCACAAAATGTCTGGACAGACCCCTGGCTAATGTAAGATGGACAAATACCTTGTAAAGGCAAAATCATCTATGATGATGCACCAAAAATATTCAATGCTTTAAAAAATATAAGATGTTAAAAATGTATTATAATTAAAGAAATGATTTTTTTTCAAGAGTTTTTGTGTCTTTTTTAGTTTTTAGAAATCTCACTTAACTTTTTGAGAAAGCTAACTTTTTGAGAAGTTTTTAGAAATCTCACCTTGTTTTTGAGAAAGGGTGAGAAATTCTCACCCATTTTTTTTCTATGATGAAAACACTGACTTATACAAAAATCTTCCAGGGTGATTTCCGTATCATGATCTGTGGCAGAATAATCACGGAATTCTGGGCAGCAACCCAGGAGAAACTAAAAATAACATCACAGAAAGGGACCAACTCTAAATATATAACTCCTAGCCACCCCAAGTCTAACATCCACATGCTTCATTTTTAAAAAAATTGCAAGTTTAAAATCTATTTGGCAACTTGACGATTGTAGTTGGCGTGACTGATCATGATACGGAAATATCCCCAATCTTCCTAATTAATCAGGTCAGGAAACATAAATTGGAATAATAATATTCAAAATAATAAGTGCATACACATAATGGAAATAACAAAATTATAAGGTTTTTCATAGAATTATTATCTTTTGCATTTCTTTCTAAACATTGAAGAAGTCAGTAAAACAAACATGATGGAATAACCAAGAAAAATAATTAATGTAAATATTGAAAATTAAAATAATGGCATAAAGTTTATAGACACCTACATAAGAAGTTTCAGCAAGAACGTTTAGGACTAGAACAAGTAGGCACTTTCTGTATTATTATAATAAATAAGCCATGGTCTCCAAGGTGAAGTAGTTAATCAAGATAGAGGTTTTTTGCTAAATGAGAACGGGCCATGACCATGAAGTTTAGTTTCTAATTGCTGTCATAACAAAGTGGTTGATTATATAAGGCGAGTTTAATTATCTACCCTAATTTTTTTTTTTATTACAGTAAGCTATGTGTTCAGTAAAAGTTTTCTGAGCATTCTTTTAAATATATGCGTAGTCCTCTATTCACTATCTAACTAGACATGATTGGTTTTACAAGATTTAAGTTTTAAAACGCGTTATTGAATGTTATCGGCAATATAAAGAAATCTACAAGAATATTTATATATAGAATAGATGAAAAACATAAAGTGTTGTAATTTTTAAAAAAAAATATATAACAATTTATTTGTTTTTATTTATTATAGTTAAAGTTGAGGTTACTTTTTTTCAAGTATTTTCATTGACTATTTCTGTATAGAATAAGAGCCATTTCAATTAGATATTAAAATTTCGTTATTCGTAATTTCAAAAATTCTTTAACTATTTTTTTAATTAAAAATCAATAAGTATTTATCCATTCCATACAGAGAAAGAAATAACGTAAGAGATGATGAAAAAAAAACTTTGCATGGAAAAAAAAATTGTACTTGCAACTGTAACTAAATCATTTTGATTGTAAATAAACTCGCTGAAATAAACAAACATTGCGTAAACTGAAAATTTGTAATTTTAAATCGAAATAAAAATAATTTTAATTAGTTATATATATATTAAATATGGTGTTTCGAAATATTGTGCGTAGTTGGATTCTATATCCTAATTCCATTCATGTTTCCTTGTTGCAGAGCAAAATATGTATGTCTATGTAATAAAATTAATAGTTTCTTATGGTTGTAATGTTTAATAAAGTTAATATTTATTATATAATTTAAGTATTTTAATTTTGAAATTATTTCATCTTCAGTTAATCTTGAATTACGCTACCACTAATTTTTTTTTCTCTATCATTTACCGGTTTGATCTAAGAGCTGCGTTTCCGCATGGTTTAATAAAAGCTCAATGGTATTGGTAACCTAGTGACATTCTGAAAAAGTGCTAAATTTTAAGTTTAAAAACTTGTTGTAGTTTTTTACTTAATTTATTGTTAGTATTATTTTTTGCCAGGTCATTGAAAAAGTGCCAAAAAAAAAAAAAAATTCAAAATAAGAAAAAACAAGTGGAAATAGAAAAAAAAAAAAGGATCAGTAAATGACAAGGAATTGCAACAATCTTGGCTTATCGAATACATAAAAAACAACTCCAATTCGAAATTCACGTGTCACAATAATGCATTAAAAATATACAATACATGTTAAAAATCTCTGGGCACCTCACGAACCTTGTCTGGAATGAATCCTATTCTTAGAAACCAGGACTTGAAAATTTCTTTTTACTAAAAACAGATACCAGTTTAAAACTTGAATTCTGTGCCTTTTTATCCATCTATTAATATGCACATTCATAATTATTGTCTTTTGATATACAGAACATTGAATTTCAATTTAGAAGAGTTATATTTGAACAATCAAGGTTTTTAATTAGGACTGATTAAACATCTTCATCAACGAAAAACAATGTAATTTGGTACTCATTATTATTCTGATTTTTCCTTGTAACTATTAATGAAGAATAAAAATAAATTTTATTTATGTATTTTTAAAGTTGAATCATAAATTTGCCAACAAATGCTGAAGCGCCTTCTTTTCTTGCTAGAAAATTGTGGCTTCCATTGAAAGCTAAAAGTTATCTTTAGCATTCACTTTATGCTTTTTGGCGTATTTTTAGCATTAAAACGTCTAAGTGGAATCACTTACTAGGGTTTACTGCATTGAAAAAAATACCATTCTAGTTTTTTTTTTATAGCATTTAATTAAATTTATAACTACTTCTATTTATTTGTAGGTGGATACCCTTCAATCTTTATGAGATATTGCAATAGTAGAGCTCATGTTGTTCAGATGCGAGGTTTAGATTATGAAACTAAAGAAGGAGATGTTATTGATGTAAATTACACACATTTGAAATTATTTCTTTGATAGTGTTAATATTAGGTAGATATATAAAGCATGTATTTTTTTCTTTAGTTTTTCAAGCCATTAGGCATAAAACCAAAAGCAGTGTACTTGAAATCGGATGCATCTGGTAGAACTTCTGCTGTGAGTGAAGTTGAATTCTCATCTCATGCTGAAGCTGTTGTTGCTATGAGGAAGAAAAATGCTTTTATGGGTTGGTAATGTTTGCATTTAATAACTAATATGAAATTGTTTATTGTATGAATCTTATGTCTCTAATTCAGCCTATGGTTTGTATTACAAACTTCCCCTTTAAAACGGGCCTTTGTAACTACTGTGAGTCTTTAAAATTCTCCGTTAAAGGCCCACAGTATCGTATATCAAACAGGCTCAGGTAGTCCAAGATCACACGGACGTGATCTCAATACCATACTCTTGTATTAGTCTTGTATTACTTTTTTTTATTGTTATCTTTAGAATGTATAAACTTATGAATGCAAGCTAGAGGAGGCACTTTTTTTTATCTTTTGGCTATTTCCGGAAGGGTTAGCAGCTTATTAAAAGCACTTAACCATTTATTTCAATATAGTTACCCTAATTCAGTAAAAGTTTTAAGGAAATTATTTAAATCATTCTTTTTTTTTATGTTACTGCACATTATTCTATGTGAAACATCATGAATTTCCTTCAAATGAATGAAGATTGCATGATCCCCTCGATTATTTTCTTAAGTGGCAAAGTTGACCAATTCACATTTAAAGGTGTGTTTCACGTATCAGATTGGAGTTTCTCTCTTTTCAAGTTTTAATTGGAGTGAAATTTTAGAAATTTTTTGCTGAAATTGTTAATTACATCTTGTTAAGCTGTTTTTTGTGCCTGAAGGTCATAGAAATGAGATGTAAATACATCTGTGAATGTTGTGAGTTTAAGAATTATACTTCATTAATGAATCCTGAATTAGTAAAATTAATTGTATTGTAATGCTCTAACACTGCTAATAACAAAAGATGTTTTGCAACTCCAAAATAAAATTTTAAAAGGTATCTCTGCTTGGGAATAAGTATTTGAATGTACTTTTTAGATTATCCACCTAGCAGTATTATCCAAAACTTTATTTTTGGATAATACTGCTAGGTGGTCCCAACTATGGTTAAAAAAAAAATTGCAAAATATGGATTGCTTTACATTGATATCTAAATTTATATATTGCGTTGTCATATTTAACTTGGCATGAAATACCATACATGTTCATTAGATTAAAAGAATGCTTTCACAGTCTTTTTAAATTTCTTTTTGAAGGTTATGGTAGACTTGTCAATCATGCTGTTCTTGTTCAGAAATTTTTTCTTTCACTTTTATTTGTGAAATATTAATTTCTTGCCTTTTTTTATTTTCAAATTAAAACATGTGGTTATTATAGTTAACTTCACATACGTTATTTAACGAAAATAGATGTTTTGAAGCAGGCACATTATTCTTAATGCATTTTTTACTTTTATAGAACTATTTCAAAACATACCTTAATGTATTTGTTAGTTTTATTACTATCATTTATTCTGTTAGCTGCCTAATTCTTATTAAAATAAATGAATGCTTTGTTGAAATTCATTCAGTGCTTTTTTACTATGAATAAATATTTACTGCATTTTGGTATACTCACAATATAACAATTTCATATCTCACTTTATAACTTCTGTTCTGAACTTCTTTATAACTTCTGTTTTCTGTTCAGTCCTATAAGCAAGAACCTTCCTCAGTGTCTGAACATCAAATTAAGGTAGATAGGTAAAGAGACAAACATGTGTAAAGTGGTGTAACCAATAGAGATAAGGGAAACAAATTTGAACAAGGAAATATGAAATGGGAAGATAAGAAACAGGTGTGAGGGTATTTGGCAGGAACCCCAGGGTGCAAAAGTTTAAATTAAAATGGATTTCCAAATACTTGGAAATGTTGAAAAGCTTGAAGGATCATCAACTAAACTATTAGAATTTTTCAAAGCATAAAAAGAGTCCCGAAAATTAAGTTCATAAGGGGAAGAGCAGTGCTGAATGATTTTAGACGAAGAAAAATCAAACTTGTTGTTACAATTTCTACTGTGTAGACGATAGAAGAAAGTTTATTGTTTTGGACGTATCTTTCGTATTCTTTTAGTCAAAGTTGAATCAAAATCAAACATTTTTAATAAATTTAAGTTTAAAGTCATTTTCCCCCATCTCTAAATAAACTAAGTTTCACCTATTTTAAAGACCTTACTGCTCTTATTAATAGCTGGGGTATTTATCAAATTGCATTTTAATGTGGTTTGGTGTATATTGAACAAACTAAACATATCTTTAAACTTCGACTTAAAAAATATGAAGGGTATGTCTAAAATAAGGACATTAAACTATCTTTTATAACTCTACATAGTTGGAATTCTAATCACAGGTTTGATTTTTCACTAAAATCATTCAACACTGCTCTTCAGTTTGCGAATTTGATATTTGGATGTCTTAATATGTTTAAAAAAGTTCTAATAATTCAGTTAATGATCTTTTGAGCATTTCACTGTTTCTCAGTATTTGGAAATCTATTTTAATTTAACCTTTTGCATCCTGGGATTTCCGCAAGATCCTCACATACCTGTTTTTTATCTCCTCATTGTTATTTCCTTGCACTAACTTGTTTTCTTTGTCCCTATTGGTTAAACCACTTTATACATCTTCGTCTCTTTGTTTCTCTACCTTCATTTGATGGAGGTCTTTGTGGAAGGTTTTTGTTTGTAGAACTGAAACTATAGTATGTTAATTTATTCTTGTTATTTTTCACTTTAGTCTACTAGAGCAAAGTATTAACCTTTACTTTGTTGTAAACCTTTTATATTTAATTTTATCTTTCACTAGGTAATCGTTTTATTCGTTTAACTTTGAAGTCTATCGATGCTAGTCAAGAATCAAAGAAGATAGTTGATAGTAGAACTGTGGAAAAAACACAAAATGAAGGTAATTTCTATCTATATGTTTATGTATACATCTATCCATCTATCTCTCTCTGTATATATATATACATGTCACGGCGAAAGACCGAAATTGGTGGTTGTTGACTTTCACCGGTGAATGTCGACAAACACCAAATGCGTCTGTGAAAGATCGAATATTTCATTACATTCTTGTACATTCGGACCCTCACCGGTGTACTGCTGATGGTCAGAGACAAGCTAAGGAGCTGAATCGAGACTGTCCTAGTGTACGTCAAAAGGAGCTCTTAAAGCTTAATAGAAACAGTATAAGGAAGATCATAGGTCTTCTTAATGGTCACTGTATCCTCAGGAGACACCTAAACATTATGGGAATAGAATCCAATTCTCTTTGTCGGGGATGTCATCTAGAAGAAGAGACATCACGACACATACTTTGTGATTGTGATGTCTATTCTGCTCAAAGATTTGAGCACCTAGGGCAGCATTGCGTCAATGCCTGGGAACTGCAAGATGTTCCTGTAAGGTGCTTGCTGAACTTTATTTCAGCTATAGGGCTTTCTTGCTAATCACGACTAGGGTTTGGGTACAATAGACCTCTGGTCGATGTGCCCTGCTCGTCAGAGCTGCCCAACCTGTAAGTCTAATGTCGACAATCACAGATATGCTTTGGTGAATGTCCAAAATATTTATTACATTCGATTTGATATAAATTTATTCGTGGATATAATTACATTTATTCGATANCAAAGAGTCGTTATTTTCCGATATTGGTCCTAAATAGAATAGTCCATTTACAGCCGCTTTACAAACCATGTTTTTTTTCTAAGTTTTAACAGCAATTAAAACTAATACAGTCTTATGAATATAGTTCACACAAGAGCACAGTAATTGTGCTTCGTCTTAATATATTGTGTATAATATGTACAGGGAAAACACAGGGATTTTTTTCTCCAGATTTAAGTATGTATGTATGTATTNACGTGTATAACATATTAATCATATATATATATATATATATATATAAAGTAAATTTTAAAGTAACAAAAAATATATATCTAGTTTAGAAATTTTTTTTGTGACTCACATTATCGTTTTCTAATTTATGTTTGGAATAAATGTGAAAAAAATTAAAGTTGAAAAGGGTATTTATATATAAAATGCTTTATATTCTAAATTACGTTTTCTGTGTGAAAATAAAATTGCTAATAAGATATTTATCTTTTTAGGAACATTTAATGTTTCTGAACACTTGGAAAGATCTCCTTTACCATCTGGCCACACAGTTAAAATGAAAAATGCACCTCCAAGAATGTCTGATCAAGCCATACATGATGTAACTATATTTAAAGTTTCTGATTGCTGTTTATTTGACTGCTTTTTGTTAGAATTAAAAATAATTTATTATGTTAGTCACTTAACTGTAGCACATTCCATATTTCTTCAAAAAGTATCATTTGAAGAAAATTCCTTTCACATCAAATATTTTACTTATTTCATTAAAAAAGTTTCAGCCATCAAAATTTTTTCTCAGACAGCCTTTTTCTTATTTGTTTGAAATTAAACATATTTTTTTGTATTGCACAAATCCTTTAACTGTTGCCCTCTTAAGCATGTTTGTGTCAATCATTTTTGCAAAATAAAATAATAGTAATAATTTTTGCGTCAGATATTTTTCTTTTTTTTAATAAAAAAGTTTTTGTAAAGTTTTTTTTTCTCAGCTAATATTTTCCTTATAGGTTTTTCTTTGTTTGATTTCAAATTAATTTTATTATGGTACATCGATTTTCCAACTGTTGATCTCTAGAGCGCACTTGTACAAAAGTTGTGGCTGGCTAAAATTCTAATTCACATCTGAAGTTTTACACCTTTGTTTGTTTGAATTCGTAAAACAAAATAAATTTTTTAATGGTTGCATTTGTAACCATTAAAAGCTATAGCAGGCAATGAAGGCAGGCATTGAAAAGCTATAGCAGGCAAACTTGTTAATTAAATATTTTCATTAACCATTATTATTTGCAGGCAAACTTTCTGCAGCTGATATTTTACTTCTTGTTTTTTGTTATTATTATTAAAATTTAATTTATTATGGATATAAAAATTGTTTAATTATGTTGGAATAACTCGCATTTGAGTTTTTGTATTTTAAATTTTCTGTTATCTCAAAGTAAATACTTTATCTTTTATATCAACTAGTTTAACAATTTGTTTAATGAATTGATTTCATGCCTGATTCAGTATTTTTGTTAACTTTTTATTTTCTAAAGCTTAATATTTTCTTTGTGATACAGTTCATTATATGGATACAAATCTAGGAAAAAAACTGTAATAAGATCTTTGGATTAAAAATTCTTCAGCTGAACTGCTAAAAGTCGTAATTTCTTAAGATTGCTACCTGTTATTTCTTAAAGTAATTGTTATTTTTTAAAAAAATGATCAATGTCTAAAAACTTATAAGAAAATGATCCTTTAAAACATAAAAGATTTTATAGAATATTTGGCCAAAATATCACTTAGACGAGATAGTCTTACGGCGATCTACAATTTTCCTATTTTTAATCATTTTCCCTCTTTTCTATTTTTGTCCCCATCATTTTCCAATTTTATGTTATATTTCTGAGGATGTTGAAAAATAACTGCATTGTCAAGAATTTTCTTTCATGATGTATTAAGACTAATCCAAATAAACTTTAACTTCACAAATTGATGAACATTGTTTTGGAGTCATTCATCAATTAAATTATGTTAAATTGTATGTCTTGTCAATGAAATTGAGATTTCTAGAGTTAGTTTTGCTTTCCAAATCTTATTTTTATTCAGTAATTTTATTTTCATACAGTAATTTTATTTTAATACAGTAATTTTATTTTAATACAGTAATTTTATTTTTATACAATAATTTAATTTTTATACAGTAATTTTATTTTTATACAGTATAAAAAATAGCAATTATTAACCATGGTAATTTTGTTTCTTCAGATATTGTTCAACTATAGCAGTTTTTTTTCTTCTTAAGCATACAAAGGTGGTTTTCTCTTATTTTGATATATATTAAAAGAATACAAATAATATTTGTACCTAAAAATTTTAANGAATTCTTTTTTTAAGAAATTCAGTTCCGTTTTTTTTATCCACTCTTATTTTTGTTTATCAATCTATTAATTCAGAAATGCTTTAAATCAAACGATGCTCACGGAACCAATGCTTATGCGAACCACCCGAAAAAAGATTTGCTGAATTCTCATTGGTTGAAACTAAATTATTAATTTTATTAATTAACTAAAGGAAATTTTCATAATTTAAGACCTTATTGCACATCTACATAACAATACCTTTAAAACGACACCTTATTTGTTTAATTCTGTTGCGTAGTTTGGGAGTTTTTAGGGAGACAAAATATTGCTAGCCTATTAATATATAGATGCATAAATTATTTTATCCATATACATCCTGGGTTTCCTGCCAAATCCTCTCACATTTGTTTCTTATCTTCCTGTTGTTATTTACTTCTTCAAACTTGTTCCACTGTTTCTATTGGTTAAACACATGTTTGTCTCTTTACTACTTTTTGACTAAGGAAGGTTCATGTTTATTAGAATTGAAACTATAGTATGTCAATTTATGTATTTCCATTTGCGCTTTATCCACATTGCTTTTTGCCTTAGTCTATATGGCACAAAGTATTACCCTTTCCTTTGTTTATTTAATGTATTATGCCTTTTTACCATGCATGAATTATTTTGATGTCAGACCATTTTTATTATTTGAAATAGAACTTAACTCAGAAGAACATAAATAAAGTAGTTAACAGAAATATACGATCTTTCAGTACTATAATAACAAGTTACTCTTTTATTTTTCGTCTTGCTCCTCTCTTTTCATCTAGAATTCTTATTGTAACTTAGTTAATATTGTACTACTCTCTACTGATGATGGTACTTCTTATAATACTGAAATGATTGTTCATTTCTATTAACATAATTTACACTCTTAAACATTATGTATTGCATCAACAAAGATGCACTTTGTTCTTAAAATGCTATCAATAATATCCTTCACCAAATCTTTTTTCTATGATTGCATGTTTTGCTTTCCTCATAGGTTCTCAACAATGGGTTAGAGTCCATAAAATGCATACATGAAAATAACTGAACTTTAGATTAAGTTAATTTGTGTTTCTGTAATTTATCATTTGTTTATGGAACACACGTTAAAAGTTGGCTTATGTTTATGCTTCATTTATTTATGTTAAACAAATTTGCATTGCTTTAATGGGATACTTTTAAATTTTTATTAATATATCAATGTAAGTGATAAAATTAAGTAATTAGTGATAAAATTTTACATATACAACATTTGAAGATGCTAATATGTTAAAATATCCTGAGTTTGCTAAAACAGACGAAAATTTAAAGTGAATAATGGATGAATGTTTAGTGATCTATGGTTAAATTTTAGTGTATTTTAACACTTTTGAATTAATCCTTATTATACTTTTTATCACATTTTTTTTTATAGTCCTTCTCTTGTAAAGTTTCAGTTTATTAAAAGAACCTCCGTTTAACAATTCTTTTTAAAAAACTTTCATTATGAGGAAGATTTTTTTTTTAAATGGATATTTAAAAATATTTATGTCGATGAATCTCATTTTTCATCATTCACTTTTTATCATTCAGTCTTTTATCATTTACTTTTGTAACATTTTTGTATACCACCTCTGCTTTTTTCAGTGAATTTTGTATACCACCTTTTTTCTAAATTTTTTTTATAATTCTTGTCAAATTTTTTTTGATCTTTATTGTATAGGGTATATGTAATTTTTTTTATCTATATATTTTTAGTTATTTTCACCTATTGGTCTTGCTCCCATATCTGTTAAGCCTATGTATGATGAAAGTGGTATACGAACTGGTGAATTTCATATACAGTTCTTGACTAAAGAAGATGCATTTAGGGCTATGCTGAAGAACAATACTTATGTTGGTTAGTAAACAGAGTTTGCTTTAGCTATGTCTCATTATTTTAGTATACATGTTGATAAAAATATTAAAATTTATTTTTAATATTTTTATATATATTTTTTCCATAAAATGTTGCATAAAATAAATAAATAATTACCCTTTCCCTCTTTTTTGATTTTATTTTTTTGTTTCATACTTGTTACCATCAATGTATGGAATCTAGCATTATATTGAATGCTGGAATTAACCAGAGAAGTGTGAAATGAATGGTATTTTTCTCAATAGCTAGACATTCTATTGAATAACTGATGGCAAACAAGGCTAGGTATGAAACAATTATTATTTCACATATTGTATGGATATTTCATAGAATGACTAATTAAAAAGTTACAGGCATTCTATACAATGATTAGGCAAAAGTATATGATATTTCTCATTATTAATACTTGCCGGAAAGTGCTAAGAATTCTAAACAATGTCTAGACATTTTATAGAAACAATGTCCAAACAAGTTCTTGGCATTTTATAGTATGTTGTCATTTCATACATTAGCAGCAACATATAAAACAGCAAAACGCCTAGAGCTTTCTTTAACTCTTCAAAGTAAACACATCAGGAATGAATTTCTGTTTCAAAATCTTATTGGGGAAAAAAATTTATATTTTAAATACATTACATTATTGAAAAAGTACTAAATTTCAGTTTTGAATAATTAACACACATTTAAAGTAGTTTTATTATTATTGGATGTTATATGTAATGAAAATTAAAGCAACAATTGCTAAAATAATAACTTCCAAAACTTTGCTTTAGTCTAATTTCTCTGTTTTTGACCACATTTTAATTAAATTCATAACTAGGACTTTTTAGGGCAGGGTAAATATCTATTTTTAACAGACAATTGATTTTTGATTGTGTGTAACCATTAAATGTTTTTTTAAAGTATTGCTTCTTCTGTGGTAAAAATATGAATAAAAACATTCTTTAGCGTAGATGTATGGTTTAATGATGATAAATTTATAATTATTTTAAATTTTTTATCATATATATTCGTTTAAAATAATTTTCAATTTTTTGTTTAAAAAATAAACCCTAAAATTTATAAACCATTAATTTCACTTCATTTTTAAAATGTCTTTTTAATGTTGCATTTAATTAATCTTATTTATTTTGCCATTCTAAATATTTTTTTAATGTTTTGTTTTGAAAATACAGCATACTTTTTAAAAATTGTTGTTTATTCACTTTTTTTAGCATAGATTTTTGTTACACTGTTGCATTTAGTTTTCTTTTTTATTCTGAAATATTTTGATATTAGCTAAAATTATGTCTTATAAGTATTTCTTCCTTCAATTTTAAAGATACATGTATGTTTAAGAATGCAAAATTTCTAAATTTTTTAAAACATCATCAATTTATTTTTAGGTAAAAAGTTTGTGGAATTGTCACTAGGTCAGAGTTGACCTATAGAAAAAGGATATTGTGTTAGTAAGTGATTGCTTTAGTTATTATCATCACTATTTGAATTAATCACTCTTAAATGTACTTAATATTCAGTTAATGAGGTTGCTCAATTTTTTTTAAAATTTAAATTTATGCTCTATATTTTGAAATTGTAGCAAACCATTAGTGTACCTGTCATTTTTTCCTTGCTTAGTCAAAAATTCTTATAATTTTTGTGTAATATAAGATAATTACATAAAAATGGAAAAATTTCTGTAATTTTTTTTAATCAAAATAATGTCTCTTATTGCTTACTTGAGTATTTAAATATGTATCATTGCAAAATTATGAAGTAAGTCTCATTTATAGAATTAATTCGAAGCTTTTATTTTTTACTTATTCTAAAACTGTAAGTTTTTTTTAAATTTAGATCTTTTATTTGAAAATTAATTAAAAAATATATTATAACTGTTCAACACTAGACAAACTGAACATTGCTGTATACCTAAAAAGACTGAAGGGCTCTTCCCAGATTGTTTGTATGTAGATCAATTATACATCCAAAATCTTAAAATGCAATCATGAATAATTTAATAAAAGCATATTATAAACATGATTATTGAATTTCTATGGTATTTTATTCAATTTGGTTAATTAAAATATTTAACTAAACTGGCCTTTCAATGCCTACATATGCATTTGTTTCTTAAATAATTGAGTTTCCTTTTCTCTATAAATAATAATATATTAAAATTTTCTCTCCTTTTTTTAAAAATGAAACTTGGGTACCTTATACCTAAGACTACCTGGAGTTATGGAATACCAACCAAAATACTTAAAGGGTCTCTCTGGCCCCTCCTGTCATTTGAGGTGTAAGGTTCTATATACACATTTCTGAATGATTAAATAAGCACTTAAATGCCTACACGAATGATTAAATAAGCACTTAAATTGGATTAAATTATGAAAAGTTGGAAATACTCAACACTTTCAGTAAATTGTTTTTTGAATTATAGAGCAAGAAAAAACAAAAGGGGCCTATTTGGCGCCATCTGTCTTTCTAGTGTTACAATGGATTAAATATATGATTATTTTTGAAAATTCTGAATTCTGAATAATCTTACATTGACTGACATCTTACATCATATAAAATTATCTTACATTGAAATCCATTTAATGACAGTTATAAATGGAAAATATAGCTGTTATTTTATAGTTGTTTGTACAATATAGTTTTTTTATTTTATTGAATCTCTAAAATTCCCTAGATCTAATGCATGAAATATATATTATTTCTTAATATCGACTGGATTTTTTCTTTTTCATGGCGGCAGCAATGCGTTAAAATGCTTTAATTATTATCTGTAATTTTTTATATAATTTAAAGGTAAAAAAATGAACATTTCCTATCTAACTAACAATATTAGTTATCTAATGCCAGCAATTTAAATTTTTTATTTGGTGCAGGATTATAAAATATTGAAAGTATTATACAGTGATTTCCCATACTATAGATTCTCCATAGTTTTCTATCTGAGGTCTTATTTTTCTTTAGATTTAATTATTTTATTGGATGGACATAGTTTAGAATATTAATAATTTTTATTACTGATATATCAGGCAAAAGTCTTTAAAAGTTAAAAATTTTAAATTTAAAAGCTTAAAGATCTATATTAATTTGATTTCAATCTGTATTAATTTCTATTTTTTTTCAGTGCGTAGAAATGAAAAGCCTATTGCTTTCAAGTTCCATACCTAGATCTTTAATGGCATCTATCAATATATAGAGAAAGGTCTACAGAGAGAAAGCATCTATCTAGAGCTAAAAAGCATGTATCTAGAGAGGGAGAATGCAAAGTTATTAAATTTTCAATACAAAACTGATTTTTTTAAATCAAAATATTTGTAATTTTTAAAATTTTTTATGGATATCACTGGCAGGGTGCATTTTCTTTTTCTCGAAATGCGGGGTCATAGCTCCATTTTTACAAAGGCTTTTCATGGATGTGGTCTATATTTGGAAAATTATACTTAAATAAAAAATAGCATACTCAAAGATGGTTTGATTTTAATTGTCGTGTTCAAAATATTTTACAATAATTTTTTTCATTCATATTTTATAGCAATTTTTTATTTATATTTTATATCAATTGTTAAATGTTAAAACTTGAAAGTTTATTCCTAAATATTTCTAATGCAAAGTAAATGTAGGGTGTTTCTACAATTAAACATTTCTTATTTATGTTTTATGTTTAATTTAATTTTGCTATAACTCTTTTTTCTTTATATTGTAGGATAAAAGTATCATTCAGAAGTTTAAATACCTCTAGGAGAAAAAGTGTTGTGTTAATATTTCATTATCAAGTGGGTTTTGTTAATATTTCATAAAATAAATCATTTGTCTTCGCTTATGTACTTTGTGGATTTATATTTTTCTACATGTATATTAATTTTTTTAATTTATTGTCATTATGACTTTTTTCTATCATATAAACTTATTTAATTAACTAAATTTTCATATCTGGGAAGTTATCTTTCGTTAAAAATTATTAATTTGTAAAAAAGAAAAAAAATTCTTCTCTAATTACTAATTTATTTGAATTTCTCTACTACAAATTTATTTATTTTTAGTTTTTTTATTATTGATAAATCTACTTATATTTTTGAAAAAATCTAAAATTTTAGACACAATTTTTGGTTCTCCAATTCACTTTGTTTTAAGTTTGATCTTTTTTTAAAAATATTTCTAAAATTCAGATATTGAAAAGCATATAACATGAAGATAAAAGTAGGACACACATTTCTATAAAAGAGATAATAAATGTGAAGATAAAAATCGAACATATATTTTTATGTAAGAGTTAACAAATGTGGTGATAAAAATGGAACATATATTTTTAGGAAAGACATAATAAATAAGTGTGAGGATAAAAATAGAATATATTTTTATGAAAGAAACAATAAATGTGAAGATAAAAATGGAACATGCATTTTTATTAAAAAGATGATTCTCATTTATGCTTTATTAAAATTTACAATTATTATACAGTTACTGATACATTTCAAATAAATTATATTATGCAAAAGAATTCAAAAATGCATCATAATTTATTTGTTCTGTGAGTTTTGGGTCAAAATAATCTTGTATGTAAAAGAAATCTTCCTCGGATAATTGAATTTTATATAAACCAAGAATTTTTCGGAATTCTAAAGACTTAATGAAACCTGTATGCCCTTTATCAATCCTGCGAAATGCATATCGTAAATCTCTGTAATTTTTTAAAATTTTATCTTTGTATGTTAGAAGAGCTTTGCTCAATCCTGTTACATCATTATTATTCACCTAAAAAATAAAATGTATATGTTTAGAAAAATGTATTATTAGAAAAATTTATTATAAGGAAAAATATCTAGTGATTTTTTAGGCATTTAGCAATAAGAATTAACTAGGATGTGCAAGGTTTTTGACTCAATAGTAAAATCCCCTGTTTTAACCATTTTCATTTCCCCATTGTCCAAAACTGTCCTAAAATGTTGAAAATCCCTTCTGCCAACTGTCCAAACTTTTTTTGATCATAGCTATATTTTGTAGAAGTTACATTTAATAAGTATTAAAAGAGTGAGATATTAGCTGCAAACTAAAATAAAATATTAACAATTGAATTAAAAGTAGTTGGTTTCATTCTTTCTGCCTTAAACAGTTCAAAATTGCAGTTTAAATTTATGTTTGCCTTGTTAAATAGTTAATCAGGCAAAGAAATAAAAAGAGTGCTGAATTATTAATTGGTTATCTTGTCTTTGAAAAATGAAATAGGTGCTTTTGTTTTAATCATTAAAGCTTATCACAAATCTAAAGTATTATGTTTTATAAATACATTGTATACTTACACTAACATTTTATAATTTATTAAATTAAAAATACATTGAATTGTGGAATTTCAATTGATTTTGCATTATTAAAAATTAAACATCATTCAAAAATAAAATTAAATGTATATAGATAGTAAAAAATATTGTTGGATATTTTTTATGTATATAATTAATACATTGAAACCATCAAGTGTTTTAACAAGATATCGAAATACCTGTTGTCTTCTAATGTTTGAGTAGAGAAAGTGTGCAACAGTTTATGATAATAAACTTTATATTATCATTATAAATGTATAAAATATATGTAATTCTTTAAAGATGTAAAATTAATATAATCATGCACACTTAAAAACTCCTTTCGTAAAAGAATTTATTACCAGGTATCTTGTTTTTTATTTTATTTCAAAATAAGACCTGAAATTTAGAAAACCTTTCTGAATAACCTTTTATATATATAATCGTTTTTTAAAAAATAATTTTATTTTAAACTAATACTATTCAATGAAAATATTACTTCATTTACTAGCTTTTTATTTTAAACACAAAAATAATAATTATATTTAAATACCAGAGTAATATTACAAATTTATATCTGTAAATATTTATTATATATAAGCCCTATAACAGCAACACACTTAGCGATACTCAATTATTTAGCTTTTATATTTTAATAGTTGAAAAGAAATATGTTTAAAAAATGGCTGTATTTATTAAACGAAGGTACACTGTAAAAAGTTCTGTAAATAATTTAGGTAAAAATTTCGGAAAAATATAGTCTCAACAGTATTTTTCAACCTTTACAGAAAATTATTTGTGAAACGTAGTCTTGATTTACAGTGTAAGTTTTAGTGTCTGTTTTTATAGTTTTTTTAATCATCACCAATTTATATAAATTTTTTATTTGCCTTTCTATCAGGCACGATAATATCTTACAGTTACAAAATTTAGTTTCAGAACTGTTCAATTTATATTTTAGTTTTAAATTTGAAATTCCATTTATTATTTGCTCCCTTTACCTCATACCAAAAGCAAGAGCTATACCAAAAGCAAGCCCTACCCCTTTATGTAGAATATATATCAAAAGTAAGTTTTACTCTTTTATGTAAAATTATACCTTAAGTAAAATTATAATAGTAACCAATAAATTATATTGAACTATGACGGATTTTTTTTGTTTTGTTGGCCCATTTTAAAAATCCATCATACTATGTTGGGTATTCTATGTTGGTCCATTATAAAAATCCATCATACTATGTTGGGTATGCTATGTTGGATCAAAATAAAAATCCATCATTCTATGTTGGGTATTCTGTGCTGGCCCATTATAAAACTCCATTATATTATATTGGGTATGCTATGCTAGCTCAATATAAAAGTCCATCATATTATGTTGGGAATGCTATGTTGTCCCAACATAAAAATCCATCATACCATGTTGGGTATGCTATATTGGCCCAACTTAAAAAGGTGCCAATTCCTAAATTGGGATGTTGGGCAAAATTGCTGGTCCCATCAAGTTCTATGTTTGTCTTTGATGAGAATTCAAGATGATAACCATGTTGGTCCATCGATGGAAAACCATCAAGATTTTTAGCCTTGGGGTTAGTACACAAAAATCGGATTATGAGGTCAAATTTTTTTATGAATTAAAAGTTTTGATAAATAAGAAATCTATTCAACTTACTTTTACTGAAGCTGTTGTTCTCTTAATCTGGTGATTTGTATTCAATGAGTTGTCCAGATTTAGTACAATATTTTTTAAGAATAACCAATAATTAACAGGAAAACCAACTTTTATATTGAATTGAACGTTCAAAAGTTGCTCAACGGCAGAAGTCACATAAATTCCAGTTTTTTCTAAAACACCTTTAATAAAAATATATATGTATTTATGTATAAAACATTAATAAACATAATAGCACTAAAATGCTTTTTATTTAAAAAAGTCCTTACTTAAAAAATCTTTCCACGGAAGAGTATTCTGATTCGCTGTATCCAAAACTTTACAACGTCTTAAAATATCTCGCCATCTTGTTTTAATACTGTTTATGAAAGAATTTGCCTCATTTGCTAAAAATCCATTATTCATGATTTCATTCTTCATGGCATTTTCATCCTTTTTTTCCTAAACATTAAGAAAAAATTAACATATTGAATGGGGCTAGTAAAATATAAGGTTAATAAAAATTGCAATTTTTTTTCACATATATTTTAAGGTGTATCTCATTTTGTTTTATTGCTTAGGTGGATAGTCGATTGCAACATCAACCTTGCTTAGTAGTTGCATGATAGCATTTTTTGTAGAATACATTGTAGGCGCTGATGATCTGCGGGTCTTGTTTTCTTTTGTAAGGAAGAAAATAACTTGGCTGATCGTTATATTCACAAGTTTGCGTTATAGCAGATATAAATAAAAATATTTTCCAATTTCCCCTTTTTCGGTATAATATTGCTTACTTAAACAACAAAAACGCAACTTCCTAATATATATAGAATATTTTGGATTCCTAATATATACATATATATATATGGGTGATTCTCAAGAAATATGACAATTCACTGTTCTTTGCTCCAAGATCTAATACTATAATACTAAAAGAACTTTTTTTCAAAAAAATCAATAAATTGCATTGCTGTTAGCATTTTAAAATGACTTTTCACTAGCATTGACTGCTTTGTCTAGTTAAAAAATTTAATTGAACTTCAAAATGTCATTTTCCTGGCATGTCCCAAACAATGTTTCCAATAATAACTAGCTTCAAAACTTCCCATAAATTTTTCAATATCTAATTTTTTTATCTCAACCGGTGTAAGCATTTCTAGAATATACGCAGAGGGTATTATTTAAAAAAACTTCGTTTGAATTAATTTTTTCTGTCAATTATTTGTTTGTCCCAAGAAAATCTGTCATTTTCCTGGCTACTTTTATTTAGTGGTATATAACCAAAATAGATAGAGCCAGCAATCAATATCTTATGTTCATTGATTAGATACCCTCCTATATGAACATGTCTTGTTGCATGAATAAAGAACCAATTTTCTGGTTCAAAATCTATTTCAAAAAATTTTTCAAGATGAGTAGGTTTTTGTGTTGTTATGTTCCTGGCTTCTTGAAATCATTAATAACATAAACTACATAGATTTATCTGAGTTATTTTAAGAAATCCTGTTGTTTTCTGCAGAATGTGAACGTCTTAGGCCAAAATATTAAGTTAAAGTAAAGTTATATGCTATAAAACGGCGAATTTGTCATTATCCTGGCTGTCATTTTCCTGGCTTATGAATTCCAGGACATTGAAGTGTTACCATAAATTTTTTTAACTGCTAATACTGTAAGGAGGAAAAGCAAATGTTAACCTAATACCAAGTTTATGTATGATTGTAATATGGTTGGATGTAATCAAATTTATTTATTTATTTAATGATTGATTATTATACATAATTTTATTCTGTACATATCAGCAACAAAGAAAAAAAAAATTTTTTTTTTGATTCTTTCTACAGTGGATATAAAGAATTAATTTAAGCAATGTATGGTCCATCTAACATAAAGGCTTAAGTTGAGTTAGTATATTAACTTAAAATGACTGTTTTTTAAACTTCTAAGCTAATATGTCATTTTCCTGGCATTCAAGATTTGGTGAATTTCTATTTTATTTTTTCTCTCGAGCAAATGTCAATCAACTACACTGCTGTTTGTAAGATATTAATAAATGTAACTAAAGAAGTATACAAAAAAATTTTAGATTATTTTGAAGACTTTAAATTTGAAGACATTTTTTGGTCTGAAATGTCTTGTTTAAAAAGAATCACCCATTTATATATATCTTAATAGTGGAAGCCTAATAATTTCTAACTCGTTGTAAACATAAAATTTCTCTATCTTTGATATTAGCATATTGACTGTAGACCTGAAAATTTAAAATTTTCAGTTTGTAGCCCATAGATTTGAATAAGTTGGTAGCCATTTTTTTCATCAAACCTAGTAAGTCGGTGACCGATATCGATTGTTCCTTTGCATTTAATACCCACTTATTGCAAACTTTTTTTCTCTGTTTGGATATATTTAAAAAAAAATTCTTTATAGAAATAATCTAGGGGTATAAAAAATTAATTCAACTATAAAAATAATATAAATAAGTGACAAAATTAAGTTAAACATACTGACTTTAAAGAACTTTTTATTTAAAAATGTTTGGGAACGCAAAACTTTCCCTCACAAACTGATGGATCAAAATTTTGAAATGGAGACATTGGACATTTTAATGAAAATTCTGTTTTNAACAAACAACAATAATGAAACATTTCATATTAATGTCGTGAATCTTACTCAATAAATAAATAACGATGGGGAAAAGTTATAGGTTGTTTATCAAATTTGAGTCTGCACTTCCTTTTAGTTGACTGGCAATGAGGCGAGTGGTAATTTACAAATACAATTGACGGTGACTTGGAAGTTATTCGTTATAGCGAACTTCTTGTAATATGCTGTAATCGTTACATCTAGCTTTTACAGTAGTTCTTTTCTGACGACCACTGATTCTGACGAGGCCGGGATTGCCTGGTCGGTAGGGAGCTGCGCCCATGTCCGAGAGTTCGTGGGTTCAAACCTAGCCGACCGAAGACTCCCCGTGTAGTAACGTGACTGATGCACGTTAAATCTGTCGAGTCGCAAAAGTCCTCCATGTTCCTATAACAAATCAATACCTCTGGGGGTACTGGATTGGAGATCGATCGTTCTCTGATTCAGGTTAAAATTACGATCTGTGGATGAATGAATGGATGTATGAATGGGTCCGCCCTATAAACGGGTGCGACGTATTATTTAGGCAGAAGTCGAATTCTTGGTCATAGATGGCGCCTCTGAAAAACAAGAACAATCGCACCCCCTCTGCCTAAACAGGCATACGTCAACACTGATTCTGACGACCTCTGTTGCATAATGAAGCAAAATGAAGAAAATTCACCGTTTCTAAAACATTAAAAGCGATTCAGATTTCTTTTTTAAATATTTGAGTAAATGCTCCCTCACTGTATGATCTGGGCGAAAAATTTGCAAAAACTGATAATTATTCAGAAATTTTAAATTTTATTTTCATGAAGGTGAAAAAAAGTAGCCAATTTGGCGATTTCCTGAAAAGTTAAATTTTTTTTCTTTAAATATATGAAATATTGGTCAATTTCCGAAACCAGACAATTTTTCATTGTAAGATACACTGCTGGACAATTGCTAAGGACGGATCACAAATTGCAATGTAGCATAACATTAAGCGAGACATGAGACCCAGTAGGATAAAATATAGTTGCCACACTGTTCTGACATTAGAATAAAGAATATTCATTGTTCTGGAAAGTACAAAAGCTATGAAACATCTGAAGGAAAAAAATTTTTCATTGGATGCTGCGTACAGAAAGATGGAACAATGCATCTAAATGTCAGCAGGCAACTTAAAGAAAAGTGTCAGTACGGGATATGTCCACCGTGGAGTGTGATGCAACATTCTACACGCCGTATCATACTTTGCACGACATTATCCAGCAGCTGTTGAGGCAATTTATCCCATTCCTCTGTCAGTGCACGGATGAGGATGTTCTTGTTTGTCGGAGGATAGTTTCGACCAGCAAGTTGCCTCCCCAAAGCATCCCAAACATTTTCAATGGGGTT